TTCTAGACAGGAAAATTTATCATAAAATAAAACTTTTTTCTTCAACAATCTAAATGAATGACAGAACAAAATGACTGTAAGAGAAATTTTATGATAATCAGACTACTTACTAATGATGTAATATTGTATATGAAAGTAGAAGTATGCATGCATGTTAACTAGACTGGATGCATGAAATGTAGAACAAGCGAAGGAGACAATTCAGATGAATTGACTGCAAACTATTCAGATACAAATTTATGGTGTTGAAAACTTCAACTAGACGCAATATAATAAAAACCAACTGAAAGGAATGTGGAGCAGTAAGAAACAAGTGGGAAATGTACGTTAGTAGCTTTTGTTGTAGTTGTTAGCTCACATTCGATTAGGTTGAAAAAGAGTTAGAAGTAATCAGACCGAAATCTGGTATCAGATTTGAAGGCTTTGACAATTAGTTTGAGCCATATAAGGTGTAGAGTGACTGATTGTGGTCGTTTGGGATGCTAAGATCCAATAGCTGGAGACGAGTGGCTTAACTAATCATGGGGTTGTAGTCCGTTGCTATGGTGGTTTATTAATAATTTATATTTTTGTGTGCTTTTTAAATGAAATGTTGCATCAAAAGATTTTCTCTAATGTACATATTATAGGTGGCATTATATTCTTGAACTGCGTTACATTTGCTGCACTTTTATCAGAAAATGCTGCTTGATACTGATATCTGCACAATGTAATGGATTAAAGGATGCAGTAAGTTCAAGAGTTAGAGGTAAATTTTTGTATTTTCATGAAATCATGCTAGTGTATCTGAGCTATTTAATGAGACATGACAATATCCACCGGATAAAGCAGGTGGCTCCACCTCCACTACGTCGGTGGCACAGTGGTAGGGACTCTCGCCGACCATGCACATGGTCCTGGGTTCGATCTCCTGCCGACGCACACCCGATATCTATGGTCGGCCTGCAAAATTTGGGCTACCGATATCCATGCTGAAAATTCCATATTTGTACTGAAAATACGGTGTGGCATCAAGCTGTAATCAAAATTTAAAAAAATAAAAAAATTTATACTCTATATAACTGTCCACTGGAGACTATTAGTGATATGAATGGAGATTGTCGTTAATAGCGCTGAGGCATTCACTCTTAGTACTCCCTCATACCCATTAAACTTTCCTGTGCTTCAATGTTACTACAACTTTCTCTCCGCCACACATTTCTTGTTATTATAGTTCTTTTGAATCTTATCTTCCCCTCATTTCTCTGCTTTCATGAGCTATATGGAGTGTGACAACTTCAACTGCTGTACTTCTAAGCGAAGTCCTATGTTGAAACTTAGTTAGGAAGTCAGCTGTAGTTGTTGACATTAAGCTGACGTAAGCAAAGTGTACCAGTTCTTGTGAACAAAGTATCTATTCATGAAGATAATCTCTTTAAATATTTCCTGACTGATAACAACTGTGTGTGATCAGATGTTCAAGAAGAAGTGTTATTATGGAAAATCAGTCACAAGAGCAATAAAGCATTATTTGAAATCAACTGGATTCTAATATGATATGTGTACGTGTGTGGAAATGCATAATAGGACTGTGAGATAATAATCTTAGGCAATAAATATCCGACTGATGAATGATTCATAGGTTCTCCTGTTGAGGTTTTCCACGTACTCGTCATGCTGCGTAATCATTTCTAATGATTCATAGTGTTCTATACTAATTTGCTTATGGATATATCACACAATAAAACAGTAATATTCACTGAATGACGTTTCAAACATAATTAATTTATCAATTGTAACTGCAAAAATTCGAAACTTGATTTTTCTAGTGCTCGCGCTTCATTCCAATTTGTTGTAATGGTGGTAGAATTTTCCAGATGCCGAGGATAAGTGTTGCGTCATCCCTGTTGTACGTGTTATCAGTCGATTAGATAAATAAAGCTTCAGTTACCCGTTTCTGCCTCCAACTCCCAATATTATACAGTTGTGAAATACTTTAGGGGAATTAAGATCTATTGTTAGCTAGGAATAAATGTATTACGCAATATATATAACATCTAAATTAATGATTGAAAGATGATAGTAAATTAGAGTGTTGGTACATAACAGAATGAATTTTTAAAAGATAAGGGTGAACAGAATCACTAATAAAGGACAGTACCCTACCATAATGCTTAGATTCTACTTTTACATTATTGACAGAAACGGATGAAAAATGATTAGTCCTGGAAACAATATTGCTTCTGAACTGGAACACTGATCTAGGGTATAGGTATCTGACGTCTAAAATCTTGTGATTTCACGACAGCTATACATAAAAAACAAACAAATGGGGTGGCAACAGAACCACAAATATCTGCAGTAGTAGCAGATATACATTTATGGATAGTTGTGAACGCAAAGTTCTTAGAATATTTAATCCTTCCCCAAGCATATGGTGAAAATATGTGGACGAAACATTTACTGTGTTGAAATCTCAGTATATTCATGAGTTCTTCTCACGTATAAACTCAATAGTAGATGAAACATGGACAGGTTGAAGTAGCTACGCTAGATTGAAGAATAAAACAAGGATTAAATAAGCTGGAGTAGATAAAAGCAATCATAAAAAGCCATCAAACCTGATAAGTGATAAAACTCTAGATCATCCCACTCCATATCAGTGAAGTTACCCAGGTAGTCACAAGATAGGAGTCCAGCCGGTGAGTCTCAAAACCTGAATACAGAAATCAGATACACGATACTCAGTCTCCACTAGAATTCATATCAAAGTCTGTAGAATCGGAAGAACAGTAGAAGTAATAATCATAGTGTGACTAATACGCGTTTAAAAGCCTCATCTTGTACAGCTACATGAAGGGATATCTGAACCTCTATTTAGGATTCTTAATAAGGCCGGAGTCAGAGTAGCATTCAAACGTAAGAACTCACCTGGAGGAAAGATTTGTCGACTTAGGGATTACATGTCTGTAGTAGACAAAGTTTAGCTAACCGAAGAACGTGTAATGACTGTAAAGTTCCACTAGTCGATCGAGTCAGATGAATCATCAGAATAAAGGATTTTAGCCAGATTGAGAAATACTCCGCTAGGCAATCTAGGGAAAAAACCAACAACTGCTATGTACATGCTGACATGCAAACACACAATAGAGTGGGGAGGGTTAAAAGTATACTTAAGTGTAGAGACACGTTAAATACCAGATGTCTGTTTATCGAAAACACATTAGAAGTATTGAAACACATGAAAAGGTATATTAAAGAAAACAGAGAGTAGACAGAAGAATGTGTGAATATCTTAATGTGATGGAAGATAAAGTGAACTGAAAACAACATCCAGTTCGTAATATAGTATCACTGTGCAATAGGCTAAATAAACATATCCAGTATGCTGTAGCAGCGCCCAGATTCCATTTTTATGTGAATCTGAAATTCAATTATACGAACGAAACAGTTACTTGCATCTGTTGATATTAGATGGTTGGAGGGAATCTGCAGGAAAGCTTGGATCTAGATTTCGTGCTAGGTGGCACCCACCAGTTAGCAAGGCGTATCTGAAACCTTGAAGGAACTCATTTCCCTTCTGAGATTCAAACCCGTATCACCCAGTGCTGCAGTCAGCTATTTGGGCTCGTTATTGACCTCCAGTAGGACTATATTGGATACTTTGATTGAACATTTACCAGCGTTATGTGTCTAGTCCTTTGTTTAGTGCAGACTGAATTCTATCAGTCAAGTTTGCAATGTAGCCACCATTCTAGGTGGCTGTTTATCACGGTACACTCGGAATTGTTGTTATTAGATGGTAGGAGGCAATCGGGAGGAAGCTTTAGATCCAGGTTTCGTGCTAGCTGGCACTCAGCAAGGCGCATCAATCGTGAGCCCGAATAGCTCAGTGGTAACGTCTCTGATTGACGCGGGTTCAAATCTCAAAAGGGACATGAATTCCTTCAAGGTCGCAGATACACCTTGCTGACTAGTGAGTACCAACTAGCACGGCACCTAGGTGCAAGGCTTCCTAGTGATTGCCTCCAACCATATAATAAAAATAATTCACAGTGCACCGTGATGACAAGCCACCTAGAATGGTGGTCACATTGCAAAGTTGACTGATAGAATTCAGTCTGCACCAAAGATAGGACTAGACACATTACACCAGTTACTAGCTAGTGTCAAATCAGAGTTACTTGTATCATTTTTCATATTCTTCAAAAGTTAATTAGCATTGCACACTCTCATGCACCCTGATATGTTCTTCTGTAGTGTTTTTGTTGAGAGATACGGTATTATTATTTTTTTTTTCCTTCACGTTCCTCAGTGGAACATAGGGCTTCAAGCTAGTGGCTTGAAGTTTCTGTAGCACTGTGTATTTTACAGGATGGGGTTGCTAGCCTCATGCCCAACCTTTCCTCTTCACCAGCATTATTTCTGGCTTAACGAGGTAAAGGAGTGCGTCGGCCGGGGATCGCACCCCGGACCATGTGCATGGTCGGCGAGCATCCTAACCGCTATACCGCCGACGCACGGTATTATTATTTAGGATAAGTGAATTACGTATAACCACGAAAATGTAGTCGCAGAGAGGTTTCTTATAGTTTCATATTTAATAACTTTTAGAGATGACTTTAATGATATGAAGGTGGAATTCTTAATGTAGTAAACATAAGACTAATTTGGTCATTTCCTCTCCTGGCAAGAAGTTCCTTCAAGTTAAAGAACCATTACGAACTAGGGAGTACCTCAAGGCTGTTTCCTCCCAGTTTGGGACTCTTCAACGGTGCACGAAAATGATCCTAGTCACCGGGGAAAAAACCCAGGACCTCCAGGTTAAAAGGCCAGTTCGTTGATCATTCTTAATCACTGAAATGGAATCTAATCACCTAAAAAAATTTCTGCCACCTGCCATTTCACTCATTAACTACGACCTCACAATTTAAATAGTAAAAATAACAATAGCTTAAGAAGTTCCCTCCTTTAATCGATATTCATTATACATGAAATAAACAAGTAATCGTAAGCCCTATCCCACACTTTTCCCTTAATGAAGTAACAACAACTCTTATTAGGTTTCCCGAATTTCACAGATATTTTTCCCCAGACTCAACCAATTCATTTAGACTATTCAAAAGTGAACATCTTCACGATCCATAATCTTAAGAATATATGTGTATATTTAACTGAGGTAAAAAGAGAAAATTCAATCCCTAGATTGATACAATTTCTGCAAGAATTTTTGTAAGCTAGTTGTTGTTGTTGCATAAAAGAAGATCAGTGTGTGAAACACAACAATAAGAAATTCTGAAGAGATAAAACAGAGATAAGAAATAAAATCAGTATATATGTATATATATTACTTTTAAATAGAATAAAAAGGCATTTTAATATTAATCAGGTGACAGAGAACAGATATCTGATAGTGGTAAAACTACTCGTCTTTTTCTCTTGTATGCATTAGTCGCAAAAAAGGTTAAAACGATTACACAATAAATACATATGTATATGCATCAGACAGTCAACAAATTATACAATAGGTTCAGGTTTGCTGGCATAAAAACGAAAATGAAGCATGAAAACAAATCTTATTCAGTTGAATAAAATGAAGGATCTACACAACAGTGGTAAGTAAGTAAGGAAAGAAACACTGTTCTTCATTTTTTTCCTAACAATTCTCTCTCCCTTCGTTTTTTTAAAAGAAAAGCAACCAACGATTAAGAAATTAGGTTAAAATCACCTGGAAAAGTGAGAGAGAGAAAAAAATAGGAGAAAAGAACAAACAAATTAAATGATGAAATAAACGGAACTCAGGGAGGGCGCTATAAGAAGAAACCATAATCACTGTTTAATATCACATAATAGGAGCAAAGAAGAAAGTTATGTATATGCATATATTATTTATGTAGCCGTTTCGGTTTTTAATGTGTGAGTGCACAGATAAGAAATTATAAAATGCGAAATGCTTCCTTTAAATTCATCAAACAACAATACACAATGAGAGAAATTAAAAATTTGAACACTGTAAGGAACAATAAGAAAAAAAACAACACAACAAGAACAACCTGCAATGGAGGAGACTAGAATAATGTGTGTGTATACACAGTGAACAGCGAAACAGCCTTTCTACAGGAGTGGGATTCGATGATCAACGTAACAAATAAGGCCATATAGCATACAAACGTACCTTTCGTACATTAGATTACTTATAAATGAAGAAATACTGAAATAAAAGAAATGGAGAGTTTCAGAGAGAGAAGAAAGACCAACAAACGTATGCATAGATGGTGGTGGCAGCAGTGGTAGTAGTAGGTGAGAAGCTACACTAAGCATTGGTTCATGATTATGTATAGTATATATATAAAAGCATACGTCTTACTTAATTCGAAGATAATCTTGACAAAAATCAAATGGAAAATACACCCAATATGCACACTTTAGTATACATAGCCACACACACACACAAACAAACACACTACAGTTTCAACCATGAGAAGAGAATTAAGCAAGTGAAAAGTAATCAAAGTAAAAATGAATAAATATTAATGAAGTTAGTTTTAACTTTTTATATATAAGAAAGACCGGGTGATTGTTTGAAGAGAAATACACATGCATATGTATATACATGTATGTATTGTATTGTTACATATTTTTTCTTGTTCAGTATAGTTGACATTTCAGTATAACAGATAGGTGAATCTGATTCCACAATTTCCTCATCTGCAAAATAAAAAATAATTTTTTCAAACACTGCATGATATATATATATATTCAAGAGTTTGGTTTGTAAGGATTACATTTGTTTACACGAGTTTGACCACCGATTGATATCAGTTAGAGAACCATTGAAAACCAGGGAGTACTGGACAGCTGCTGTTTCATCCTAGTTTGGGAATCATCGGTAGTACGCACTCACTGGCGTTCGAATCCAGGACCTTCTGGTTACAAGGCAAGCTCTGATTCTCGCTAGTGACTTGCTACAGGACGGAGTTTCCTGGAGTTCTGGTGAGAAGTCGTGACCAGTGAGGTCCAACCAGTCAAATGTGAGGATGGATTTCCCACCGACGACATGGGTTGGGGTCGCGCTAAATCACGAATTGGTAGAAGTTAGAATTCATGCACTGGCCACTGAATCGGGTCCCAGTGGCTGAATGGTATACGAGCTTGCCTTGTAACCAGAAGGTCCTGGGTTCGAACCTTGGCAGTGGGTGCGTACTCCCGATGATTCCCAAATTAGGATGAAACAGCTGTCCGGTACTCCCTGGTTTTCAATGGTTCTCTAACTGATATCAATCCGTGGTCAAATATATATATATATATATATATATATATATGTATATAGGTTTCTCCATTCGTATGCTTCCAAGCGAATGCTAGCCTCATGTCCAATCCTTCACCTTTTCCAGGACAGTAAAACCTAGACGGGGTTTGTGAGTGCACCGACCGGAAGTCGAAGCCACACCACGTGAGTAGCTGGCCAGCATTCTACCACTGAGCCACTATCAGTGCTTAAAAAACTAATGACTAAGAATTGAATTTACTAAATAGAAACGGTCATGATATACTGGGTAACCAGAATTCTTTCTAGTAAGATATTTAGTAGATAATGGTGATTAAATTTCCAACCTGTTAGTTAGTATTCATCACTGAAGAGAAATCTGTAACCTCATGAATTCTGTGAAACTAGTTTATTTTCACAACTAAAGAGGCTGTCATTAAATTCTCTGAATCACAAATGGAACTGAACACACATTTGGAGACTAACTAACACGTGAACAGAGAATCCAACGTCAGTACAAGTTGCTACACTTTGAAGTAGTAAATAAAAAATAACTACTACACGATAACAGACGGAAATAATTATGAAAATGCAGCGAACCAAACCATAGGAATTAATATAAACATCATTATATCGTTAATATTCAAAAGCCCTAAAACAGGGCAATAGATATCCCCCTTTCAGACTAAAATCGATACCTGTAAACTTAATGAATTGCTGGTATATTTTAATCTGAGTACTTCTAATTACTTCCTAGAGTGAATCCAACTGACAGCTGACACAGTTCATTGACGAAAGTGGCAGCTCAGTATGTATAATGTTTATCTTAGTAACACAATATATGAAACTTCACTAGCGGGTTGATCAACTTAACTCCTTTACGTAATACTCTTTGCCTAATTCCAACATCATTTACCGCGTTTTTGTGCCACAATATTTATTTACAATACTTCGCACAAAAACTGAGATACAGAAATACAAAGGGAAAATTTAAAGGGGTGAATATGTATTCAAACACATTATTCAACTATTTAAGCCTATGTAGCAAGTGTAGACTAAACGACTTTCATGGAGGTATTAACTGACAAAATTACCTTCTTATAGGACTAACTTCTTTGTAGGGTGCGCATGAGTGGACATTTCCGTACCTTCATCGTTGAATACCATGCAATCCGCCAGAGACACTGTTACTACCAGTTGTCAATGCCTGGCTAGACAATAATCCAGATGACTGAGTGATATCCGTTTTATTGTTAGAATCTTTCAACATATTAGGATTATTCTGATTCATAACTGGACGAGTAGAATTATTAAAATCCATAGCATGACTATTATTATTGTTGTTTAGTTTATTAAGAACATGTGTGGTAACTGCACTTCCACTACCACTTCCAGCTGCACTAGCACCAGTTCCATTTTGACGACTTGCAGAACTTGTACTGCTTGTACCTATGATAGCATATGAATATGCGAACAATGAGAGAGAAAGGAAAAAAACAGCAAAACAGAAATGTTGTTGTTTGGGATGCATACAAATGCAAGGGAAACAAAAAAACTTCCACATGAAACACGATACAATAACACTTAAACCAGATATGAATTTATAAGGAGAAACGCTTTACCATGAGAAATAAGAGCGTAAACCATTGGCTAATAAGAGTAGTGTAATACGCAATGACTGCCGTAATGCATAATAGACTTTTTAATATTGTTTTTTGTATGAAGGAAAGGATTGTCAGAAAAACACCAGTCAAAGACTGAATGGGTTTTATTCCAGATTCATACACAATCAATATAGTTAATGCGTAAGAGATGAATGCTGCTAGTAACTAAATCACACACAAATGAAAGTTGTCTATACAAATGTATGCAAAGACAAATAGGCTATATCAAACCTGATCCGGGTAACTTTTCTTCTTCACTGGTCAAGAGATTAGCATTTTCTGTCAGTGAAAGTGAGGGATTAAGGCTACTATTAGCGTCTAAATTAGTATCATCATTTCTAGTAGCATCAAGAGTGTTGTTGTTTGCGGGTTGATTTGAAATCAAATCAGTTGACTCATCAGAAGTAACTGGGTGTACAGTATCACATATTCTGTTACTACCATCATCATCATTTCCTTTTAATAATGAATGACTTTTAGATAAGTCTTCTGGATGATGTTGATCAGATTCATGAGCATGCATAGAATCGTTAGTTTGTGATTGTTCTTGTTGTTGTTGTTGCTGTTGTTGTTGTGCAGTATCATGTTTTCTACAAGAATGATTAGCATGCGAAGAATTAAGCGATTTTCGGATGAATGGCACACAGAAACAAGGATGAGATGAGACTGTACAATGAATATACCCAATGAATGATCATTATCATTATCATAATTAAACACACACACATATTGATTGAATAAAGTGAGGGGGTTAGTGGAAGCGGTTTTTATCCCCAGCGGTTTTGTATTTTTGTGAGTGCAAAACAATGATGATGATGAGGAAATGATGAAAAACAAAGAGAAAACATAAACCGTTTGAGCGTTTAGAACAAAGCAAGCAAAAGAAAAATTCATTTCGAGAGAGGAGGAGACGACAAAGACAAAGTATTAGAGTATTAGACATCGTACAACACAGTCATAACGCATACAAGTTTGTATAAAATAATAGAATTAACAATAATGATTATATTACACACACATAATGTATATGCATGAACCAAAGCATCCGAAAGAGAACAAATTACAAATGAAGTACATCAAACGTAGAGTAAAATATTTTATTAAATAATAATAATATGCACACATACCATCCCAAATATTCAGTAGGCGATAGAGAAAATTATTTCCCCCAAAACAAGAAAAAAAGGTTACACGTGAACAACTAGTAACAATTATCCAATATATATAAAACTCAAAAAAAGCTACAAAACATTAAACTACAATAGATGTGGAGCTGTGACTCATTGGTCTAAGCGCTTGACCTCCAATCAGTGGATCATGGGTTCCAACCCCGTTCCATCTACCGAGATTTGGGACAGTCAGGTAGTATCACTAGCCTTCACACAAGAGACATGGCTCATCCCCCTAATGAATGGGATGGTAAATGGTTGAAGTCAATAGGTTGATGGTGACTAGCAGTGGAATCAAGGACGCGCATTTCGTCATATTCGGGACTTGTCATATGGATGTACTTCCGTCCCCCAGTGAGTGATGGCGTTCCAACCGAGGCTCAAACCCAGTGCCCACAGTTTCAAACGCCAAAGCGTTATCCACTGGACCACTTGGGCCACCTCTTGTGCAACGGATCATATTAAATTTTCCCGTCGATTGATTGGACCGAAGTGCTCGGTCTCAGGTTGATATATCGGAGCCAACACGTTGCACAAGAGGTGTCTCTCGTGGCACAAGGAGCCAACACTGTCAGCCTGGGACCGAGCACTTCGGTACAATCAATCGACGGGAAAATCTAAATTGAATTAAATGATAAATGGTTGTTGAGTAACATTCCACTCTAGATATGATCAGTCGACAGAACACCGATTCCTTATGAAAGAGAATCTTAAAAAATTAGAAAACTACCCACAAGGAACTACTACTTTATTCTACTCTAACACTTTTTCAACTGATCCCTATCCTATTGTTGTGACATAAATCCCCAACACTGGATAAAGGCCAATCGACCGAAGAAAATATGCACCATACTTCCGTTGAACAGTATTAACCAGTGGCAAATTAAGTGAGTAGTTATATTCCTAGTAAATATATTTGTCACACAGACAGGAAATAATTCTTTCAAAAGTTGATCGGGGTTAACTTAAAGTCTAGTCCTTATACAGATGTAGTATGCTAGTAGTGAAAACTGCGATTTTGTAATCTGACGGGATGCTGTTGCATATCTGCGTTGCCAAATAACAGCCTTCCATTATTGATTTGTCGATACGCTGATATAAACTATTTTCAAAAGTATTATATTCAATGTAAATAATACTGTAATGACTGAAAGATAGTCACTTCAGGAATATTATCAAGATCACTATTGAAAATATGCATATTATATTTGATAAAATCATAGAATAATATACATTCTCTTATCTTATCTATTATTCACACTATGGAATTAATCTAGTATACAAATAGAATAAATTATCCTAAGCTACAATAGATGATTGGACAAAAATTCTGGATTGTAGTAATGACTAAAATTGGGAAAAAGAAGAAAATGAATATCAGATTTATACAAGAGAGCAGGATGTAAGAGCAGGCTACAACACTGATAAATTATATTATTATTAAATAATGGAAGGATGAACTACTTAAAGCAAATAAAACAATATTGCAGAAGAATTCATATAGCCTGTTATAGAAATTAAGAGAAAATGTTGAATGATGCATGCAAATCAATAAGAGACTATAGATTTGTTAATCAAGCCCATTAGCTACTATTGTTTTTACATCAGTTATAGTCATAATACATGATTTTTTAAACCTCTATAAGTGGAAGTGAGTATTAGTTAACTGATGCACTTATTGCCTGAACCAGTGGACACTGAACCCTACAATTAAGAGTTATAAAGAATAACTGTTCTACGAAAGTGCAGTTTAGAAATAACGACGACTGCTTTCAAGAATGATATAAACAGGTGAAAACCTTGAAATCATGTCAACCTAATATTCGTAACACGAATAGCCTAAGTGGGTAAAATTCCTAGTATGAACATTTGCACTGCAAACACATAGTGAACCAAAAGTTACACTTTGATAAGATAAAACTCACTATTTACGATTAGCATACATGTTGACAGTGTGATTCTAAAAGTATGCTTATGGTTACAGAACAAATCATTTTCCAAGAGTTAGCTTGTACGGATTAGATTTGCTTCAAATTTGACCACGGATTGGCATCGGTTAGAGAACCATTGAATATTGGACAGTTATTTCTTCTTAGTTTTGGCCTCTTCATCAGTACATACCCATCGGGGTTCGAAGCCAGAACCTCCCGGTTACAAAGCAAACTCTTAGACCATTGGTAGAAGTTGAAATTCATGGACAGACCATTGAATCTGATCCTAGTGGCTGAATGGTTTATGAGCTTGACTTGTAACCGGAGTGTCCTGGGTTTGAACCTGTGTACTAGAACGAAGCAGCTGTCCAGTACTCCATGGTTTTTCAATGGTTCCCTAACTGATATCAATCCGTGGTTAAACTTGGAACAAATCATTTTTCTTTCCAGCTATAAAAACTACTGTTGATTAGGCTGCCAAATGTTTCTGATAGAGTTACACAATCCACTAACATTTTTAATTTTGAATAACCATGATGTAAATGACATCTGTGATGTCAAGTTTTGGGAAGGGACAATTCTAGTTTTAAATCTATCCTTAAACTGAATACAATTTCAACAAGGAAATGATATTTACGCTAATGACAATATTGAACAATTAACAAAGCAACTAAATCTGGACATTCACATTCTATACTAAATAATAATCTACACAGATATATGTTTGAATAAAAAAGGAAAATAATTTCATGCACAAACAAGTGAATACTCAAAGCTTCTATTAACTAGGTTTTTTAAAGTAAACTAACCGGAGAGACTTTGTACACTTGAAGGGTCAGTTCGCCGTTGAATACCCTTATTTAGAGAAGGAAGGCCTTTAGAAGCTGAGGTATCTAGTGGTGCACTCATACTTTGAGGAACATTGGTATTAGGTGTTTGTGTAGTAGTAGTAGTATTATTAGACAGTCCAGGTAGACGTCTATTACCAGAATAACCAGTAGAAGAGGAAGACGTTGAAGATGCAGAAGAATGAGATGAGCTAGATGAAGAGGAGTTTACTTTCTGTTGTTGAATTCTTTGATTTGATGTAGCATTCATAGCAGTGACATGGGTCTGATTAGGAATAACAGGGCGTGTATGGGAAACCATATTCGTGTTGTTTACTTGATACAAGGCGGGGTCCATGCCAATTTGACTGAAAATAGTAGACGAAACAGAACTATAGAGGATGCTTATAACTGAACAGTTATCAAGAGCAATTAATGAATACATTTCGGCAATCATAGAAGAAAATCAATCATCCCTCAAGTAAAGGATTAAAAATAAATTATATAAAACATTTTATCATGATCATATAAGAAATAGCAGATTTTGAGGCTAATCAATGGCTTAAAGACTTAAATCATCTGAGCAAGATGAGGAATAATACATAGAGTATATAATGATAAATATCTTATATTTAATACATTTCACACCGGAGGTAAGCATGAATAAACACCAACTTTCACCTACAGAACCCTCGGTGTACAGCACTCATAAAACTCAAAAGCACTGGGCAAAACACAGCAATAAGCATAGAAATGAAAAATAAGTCCACATTTTCACTCAATAGAAATATTCCTGACAATTAAGCCATAAAAGCTAACGAAATTTGGGCATTATAGAGTGAACAGGACGAAAACTCTAAAATTTAACGTAGTTTTAACTTAAGAGAGAGAGGGGGAGTAATTCCTGAAGATTTGTTCACGGAATCAACACGCAACAGGATTTATTCAACACAGATATCTTGAAAATTATGTAACTAATAAAAATGAAAGTGATGTAGTATAGAACTATTAAGAATGGATTTTAAAAGTTGTGCACTATTGCTTTGATATAAACATAGTCAATAAATTCTACTGGAAACGTCAATTGTTAAATGATATTGTTTCCCAATATGCTACTTCAAATAGACCAACTAGTATGGAATCAACAGTAACATTAAACTTACGGGTTATTGGAAACTCTATTCCTAAGGCCAGGAGGAGCAGATGAATTTGGATTAACAAAATTACAAGGATTTCCATTCGCATCAATACTGCAGGGACCAGTTGATGATGCAGGTACTGTAGATGCAACAGGATACAGTACAGGTGGATACGGATAATGAGGACCAGTTTGAGCAAGAGAATTACCTTCACCGGGTATAGGAGATGACATCATTCCTACATTCGGATTCGTTGAGACATTCTGGTTTTGCATCGAAGATAGGCCAGAAGCTGAGCCTACTGTATCAGGAACAACATGATGAAGATGAGGATACATCTGTGGCATCATGGGATGAGTTCCAGTATGCGGTGCAGCAGAATTAGCTCCAATTTCGGAAACGGAATCTACTTCATCTAGATTGAGATGAGATAAAGCTGAAAAAGAATGAAAAGGAATATATGCAAAGTCCAGTCTTTTCAATACATGTACAGAGAAGAAAAAAAGTTGTCAATTAGAAGGGACTTACTTGTAGCTATGTCTCCGAAAGTGTAGTAACACTGCTCAGAAAATGTACTTTTGTTAACAGTATGACGAATATAGCCATAATGCAATAGATTAGAGGCATATCTTCGTGCATCTCGTCTGTCTGCAAAACCATCTACATGAGTAAACAGCCAGTCGACGAGTTCGGAACCTACAATATGAGTAAAATGTGATTTCGTTGCATTATTGAATGAAATAGTGCATTACAAAATAAGAAATCTTTGAAAACAACTTTAAAAAATAAACTACAACAGACTACTGTTCTTCATAATTTACCTGTAATTAATCATATAGGAATTTCAAATCAAATTAGTAGACAAAAGCAAACCGATTATCGAGAAGTGGAAAAAATAAAAGATAAATAAATGTAAGCAGTCATTAAACAAGTTTATAGACAGTAAGACAACTACAGCTACTTTGATATATGGATCATATGAAAACAAAAATAAAAGGGAAGCTAAAATTACTCCTATCACAGTTAACAACAGTTATGAAGACAATTTATGAAAATTCATGATAAAGGTAACTGAAATTGAAACTCAGACACAGCTTTAAATCCAATTGAAAAGTAAGAGTTTGGTTTGTTTTAGTTAAAGTGCTCGATTTTATATAATGAGTATTGGATTTATAAATATTTCACTTATTTAAGCCTATGCACTCGAGTAGTAATGTGAGGTTAAATACATCAAGTGAATAGAGAAATGATTCACTGGGATAAAAACACTTGGTTTCCGGTTAAAAGTCCCAGGATTCGAGTCTTGCTCCACCCATTATTCCAGCCTGGACAATTAGATGGTGTTATCAACTCCCTCGCATATACAATAAATATGGCTTATATCACAATGTATGAAAGACCTCGTATACTAAGATAAAGTCAATGTTTATACAAAATAACCATTAGATGTCTAGTTAGAAACACTGATCAGAATTTATCGACCCATAGGTGCAATGTAGTTCAATCGTACTAACGACAAGGAACTTTACGTTTTGACTTATAGTTTACTGGTTTATTTAACACCTAATCTCAGGTTAACAATGGTTGATTAACAACCCCAACCCCCCCCCCCCCCTAACACCATAATACAAAATACGTTATTCCACTTCATCCTCAGTGATATAAAATATAGATAAGAAATTCATGTAAAATATGGAGAAGAAAATAATTCAGTACCACACTGGAAAATGAATAATATAAATCAATCAATCAAGTGACAATTATACAAGTAATAATTCAGTATACACGTATAGTATGCTATGCACTGATAAAATGATTGCCATTTATAGTTAAGCGAATAATATCTACTGTCGATTTTCTCACAATAACACCAGCGAAGAACACACAAGAACAGCGACAGAGAGAGAGTGAGAGAGAAAACAGCAGGTTATCGCCTACATTACTTGAAAAAAGAGGAACGAACATATGTGACTATACATACAAAAACTAATATGAAAAATAAAAATAGGCTTAAAGAGAAAAACAATTCACTATACTAGTACTAATACTACTAGGGTAGTAACAACAGTGGTTACAACATATGCTTTATTTACTCCCTCCTTAATCACCAAAGTCAATCATCATATGTACAATACTTCTACTACTACTTTTAGTATTATTATTATTATTATCTATAATCTTAGTGATAGTAATTTTTTTCTAAAAGTCAACGTTTGCTGGTATGCACAACCTCAATAAACAAGAAGGCTGGGATCAGTAAATAATATTATACACAATTATTATTCCCGACTAATCTTCACATGTAAATAACAGAATAATCACTGGATTATAACTGCATATGAAACGAATTAGCCTAGCATGATTTTTCTAAACATTCCTCCATATTATTATTATTATTTTTTACTTCTACAAAACAACTACTGAGTTATGGAATAACAGAACAGCTGATGCTTGAGAAAATAGAATTTTCTCTTCATTTTAATACTACTATATATATATATATAGCTTGAATTTTGTGGTGACACTGATGAAGGTACGTGTATGAACATCTATAATGGCATTACAAACACTGTTGAAGATATATATATATATATATATATATTCGTTTCTTTGTTTTCACTATACTTAATAACAACCACAACAACAATAAAATAAGACAACACAGAGAAAGAAACAACAGAAAACTTGATTGTGAAATAATTAGAAAAAAAGAGTTCAAAAGTGTTATAAACAAAATAGGATTTTGGCGTGACAAAATGCAACAGCATTTTCTTCAAGAGAGAGAAAGTGCATAGACTCAGTTCATCATACTGATGAAGATGACGATAGTCAACACATAATATTAATTGAAAAGATCATCGAGAAATCAACAAAAAACAAAATGATAAATTATCACATAAAAAACAACATAGAAGGTTTTAAAGAGCGAAAGAAAGAAAAAACGACACATAACCACAACTGTATGCAAAGAAAATGGGTATATGATGCAAATATTATATAACAACAACAGTTTAATTCTTCTAAGATGAAATTTTAAAAAACAACAACATGAAAAGTGTAATTGTGAATACTTTTAAATATTTTGTGTCGAATGTATATATTCATTAGGAGATTATTGTAAAACTGATGTCTAGAGCTAAAATTAATTAGAAATGACACGCGGATAAACATCACAATGAATCCTAGAATATCTTTCCAAATGAAGAATTTGAATAAACCAATCAAATGATTTTATTTTTTAAAAAAAAAATAGTTTCCCATTGTTTTTCCATCAGACTTTTTCCTCCTTGATTTCACACTAACTACGGCATAAGTGAGGTCAAGTCTCTAATTCATTCTATTTAATTAGGGTGGTCCAACGCACATTAAACTTATATTTTACAGGGCGAATTCCCAAATATATAAAGATTTCATCTAAGCCGCATGTTAACCGTTTGGCTTTCATAGCCATTTAAGACAGTATTTAATAAAGGAAGCTTCAAAACCGAATTATATGACTGATACTGCATGAAACAAAAATTAATTTAGAATAAGACCCAGAAGGAAGTATAAACAATACACCGAAAATGTATTATAAACTGACTTATTTAAAATATTACTGAAGACGAGTGAAAGGTAAGATGTAGCAAATCAACCAACAGTTAAATTAGTCCCAAGAAGTTGTGGCTTTTAGAAAAAGTGTTACCATATGAAGTTAGAAAACAACACACTCAAGCTGTAAGATTTTCGCTACTCATATTCTCATATATTTACTAACAAAAGTGATATTCGTATTAGATGGTTGGAGGCAATCGGCCACAGGAAGCCTTCGACCTAGGTTTCGTGCTAGTTGGCATTCACCAGTCACAGCAAGGTGTATCTCCAAACTTGAAGGAACTCATATCCTTTCTGAGATTCGAACCCATGTCACCCAATGCTGGAGTCAGAGGAGTTACTACTGAGTTATTTTGGCTCGCGATTAACCTCTTGTGTGACCGTATTGGACACAAGTCAGTAACTAGTGTAATGTGTCTATTCCTATCTTTGGTGCAGATTGAATTCTATCAGCCAAGGTTGCAATGTGCAGTGTGCACCGTGATGGCGAGCCACCTATCATGGTGGCCACATTGCAAACATGACTGATAGAATTCAGTCTGCACCAAAGATAGGGCTAGACACATTACACTCGTTACTGAGTAGTGTCCAATCAAAAAAGTGATATTCATCCGATTGTATATATATATATATATATATATATATATATATATAAGAGTAGAATTTAGTCATTGTGTTAATTGTGTACATATCGCGGATATCCTGTGAAAATTCATTGTCGACATATTTAAAGCTAAAAAGTAAACGAAGATATGTAAAAGAAATTGGAAAATTCCTATGTTGTTTTTTTATTTGTCTCTTCGTACATACAAACATGTTAAAGGCGATAAATGTTAATAAATGTATTACTGGATTACGCCTATTCTAGTCAACATTATATCTATTTGTATGAATTTACTTAACCTGGAGACCGTCGATTTACAACTTATAGTATATAATAGTATTAATGTATACTTCGTCACTTTTTTCCATTCCTCTGCGTTCCAAGCGGAATATAGGGTTTCAAGCTTTAGGCTTTTCCAAGTTTCATAAGTTGTGGATGTTTTTACGGGGACGAAGTTGCTGGCATCACGCCCAACCCTTCTTTTTCCCGGCTTACTATCTGCTAATAAACTATAAGAGGTTTAGGAGAGAGTCAGCCGGGAGTCTAACCTTGACCATGTGCATAATTGGTGAGCATTCTAGAACTGAACTAATGACGCAATCTATCACTTAAATAAATTTAATTTAGACTTACACTCCACTACAATATCATATTTTTACATCTATGTACCGATTGCTTTTATCTCCACAAATGTAATCAAATTAAAGGAATGTCTAAGGAGTAAAACGACTCAAAACAAGTATTAATTAGTAACAAAGGCAACAGAGATAATACAAACGGCATAAGTTGTGACATACACCTACGTAATATTTCGATTTAACAAGTTCAACATCAATAAGAGGAAAGATAAAATAATATTCGCAAACTAACACATTCTAAACTGAAATGTTATGCGAATAGATGAATATGCACTAATCATGAGAAAACATCAAGCTCAGTTGATTAGTTTTATATTCTGCTAAATTTATATAAATTAGCAATGGGAAGCGACGAGTGTGACACGGAGGAGATCGTGAGAGGAGGAGATGAGAAATTATGGTCAATCGTGTACCTAGATGAAGAGGACAGCAGAAAATAGAACAAAGTGGAGATGAATTGTTGATGTTCTACTCGGAACTCAAGGGAATAATAATATTATCATAGTTGAAAATCACACCATTAATGAAAGTAGGTGATGTCAAAACCAAACTAGTAATCATCCTAACTGACGACAGAGATTCTACCTACTTACTATGTAATAAAAAATAGAACATATGATCCAAAATTTACTTGATTGTAGATTCGTTTGATAAAATAAAGTTTAAGATAAGACAGAGGTTAATTTGCAACTATTAGATTTGAAAAAAAAATAGTTCAAAATGAATATGTAGCATCAATGATGGTGATGAATAGAGTTGGTGAAAAAAAAAAAGAAAATAATAATTGAATATCAGAGTGAAATAATAGAATGATTGTATATGACAGTTAAACAAAAGTGATATTATGGTACTTCAAATATATAAGTGATAATTGCACAGATCAATGTATATATAATAGACAGATTCTTGTTATTCAAGTGCACTTATTTGATTGACAACATTTATAATATTCAATGGAGAGAAGAAACAAGCACGCAAGAAAAAAAACACAAATTTTTCTCTATTTAACTGCTTTTCGATTCACAACATAGTACATACATAAAGTTGACTGACTAGGGATATATCACTGATAGTGGGTCAAATAGAAGCGATTTAATAAAGCATTAATTCTGATTGTTTCATATCTATCAACAGGGGGTCACAAATTCTAACAGATTGGATTATTTGTACATTTAGATGCGATATATACTTAAAGAATCTACAAATTACCACCCCCAAAATGTTCAGAATAGTCCCTCATCATTTACTGAAAACTGAGATAATCACTTACAGACACAAGAAAGTGCATGATTACCACACCTCAAGGAATGGCATGACTGACTGAATCAATAACCGTGGGAGATTGGTGTTAGTTTATCCAAATTTGAAAGTTTCCATTTCATATTACTTAGCAAAAATTAAAAAATGGTAGCTAAGGGTCAGTTGAACTGTCTCTTCGAAGGTTTTGTTTATAATTTTTTCTTACAATTACACTACTGATAATTTTCGCAAACTAATTTCGTCGATAAATCTGAATAAAACCTCACAATTAATTACTGCTTTGGTCTTCTTTGTCTATTAGGAGGCCACACCTACTTATCAATGTGCTCGGATCCACCACAAATGTATTCATTAATTTGACTGTAGGTGCTGAGATCAATAATCCACCTCTAATCATGTGCAATTTCGGTGTACCACTGAGTATACAGCTACTTCATGATTGATTTTGCTTATAAGACTATCATTTTCGAGTTGGACTTAGAACTGTTTTCTAAGTGTGTTGATCTTGCACCGAGTGACTTTGGTTAGCTACCTGTCGGCAGTAACAATACTATTCAGCCTATATCAAAGAAATATGTAGTAAATGAATGTGAATTTTACACGAGTACAGAGATAAATAGTAGACTCACCAATGAAGGCATTTGGAATTGTTATTTTCAACCATGTCCGATCATGTATTTCCAGTCCAGAATCAGACATTAACATATCATGAACTACAGAAGCCATGTCTGAAGCCACGGTTAATGAAGTGGATGATTTTCCATTTGCACCAGATAAAAGTGATTGCGTACCTTTCGCGTCAACAGTCGTTTCACCTCCTGACCGAGAACCATTAGTTTTAGCACTTCCTGGTCCACCAGCAACTCCACTGCTTGCAGGACCTCTACTGCGATATCCACCAGCCAGAACATCTGCACCATCAGGAACATCTGGCAGTGATTTAGTAGTCATATTAGAAGAAGGCATTGCGTTCATTCCAGCTAGTGAAGGTAAGAGAAGCTGCGGCATGCCTGGCATTGAAGGTACAGATAATCCGGAAGATGGACCCATACCCATGAAATGTCCTAGTACGGTAAAAAATAAAAAGGAAATGAGAAAAAATAGTACACAGATTACATTGTAAAAACCGAATCATTAACAAACTTTCCATACGCAAAAGGTCAATAACAACTTTTCAGATGAAGAAAGCCATACCTCAGTAAACGAAATGAATAACACTCACGCTACCGAAGAAAACAAATCTGAAAGTAATGACAACGTAAAGTAACCATTTAGGTGCAAAGTTGAAGAATAATTCTAACTTCTAAAATGCTATTGCTCACGTAACACTAGGCAAAATATTGAATAAATCGAAAACAATGCTTACCAGGAATCATTGGCATTCCAGTTGCAGGTGATCCAGAACCAGCGAAAGGTGTATTTCCCTCAAGACCTGGTGTTCCCAGTGCTCCCGTCATTGCATTTGTATGCAAGACCCAAGCACGAGGATCAATTGGACGAACTGGTTCCTGACGAGGGATTGTGAAGTAGTTTTTGGGACTAGGATCCCAACATTTCGCAACCACTAATGTAATGGGGCTGTTGAGTTATAACAGTGATAAAAAGTAAAAGTGTATTGTTAGGGATAAAATAAATTCAACTAGAATTTAATTATATACCTCCAACATTTTCAATGTAAAGAATTAATAAACTCTTGAAAATATGACGTTTAGAAATATAGTAGGCAGAGATATTGTAATCAGTAGAAATGTACAAATGCATTAAACATGTTTGGTGAGTTTAGAAATATCCTTGTGTATTGTGAGCAGTCTGGCGGATTAAGTAAACCTTAGTAGCTGTGCACCTATTCATGAACTTCATAACAATAGATGCCTGTTGTATATGTACTGATGATACTGACCAACTCTTTCGAACTTAGGTGGAACCAGGTGCAAGCCCGTATCCCCTCGGTTACAGTCAATGAGGTAACAATTGTAACGCTGAATTTGAACGAGTGCTTACACAAGATAGGTTTACACGTAAAAAGTAGAGAAACAGGAAATCTCTTTCTCTGTTTGCGAGTAGCAACACAATCGAATTAAAAACTAATATGAATAACGTGAACTTTAAAAACAGTGCATACTGCTTTTATTGCAAAGGAGTGAAGGCACAATGAAGATCCCTACGCACGCATGAGATTACAGTATATTAGTACACAAACCATGTAGCTTATTATATAATATCACTAGACTAATTTTACACACCTTATTTACACAACACGTATCAGGTATTCTAACAGTGTTGTTGCTAAAAAGTAACTCCCTTTCAAGTAGATTTTCATAAGGAAAACTTTGAAAAGATGGTGGAAGAGTTTGCATTCCTAAAGAAATAATATTATGACAATGACTGAGTATATAATATATCAATTCCTTTGAAGAAAATGGCGACATGAATATACCTTGTTAAAGTGCATACAAATGTAAACCACTAATTTTCTATCCTTATATTGCAAGTATCATTTCCATGGTGATACTTCTTACTGTTTTAGTGTTATACACAATACTAGTGTTGTAGCTAATTCCATTTTAATTCACGAAAAGTAGTACAAGTTTAATTTCTATTCAAGTATGAGCAAACGAAATCCCATTGATATCACGAGTGATGAAAATTCTTCATAGAATTATTAAGTGTAAAAAAGGAAAGGGAATATAAGACTTTCTTTCACTATCTTGTGATTCCCTTTGTTAGTGACTTGTAAGTAGCTTATTTCAATTGATTAGTAGTCATTTATTAACCTCATTTACTAACCAATGATGGGAATTCTACTAAAATAAGAAATAGAAGAGAAAGCACACGAAATCTGGATAATCATATATTTATTAAGAAATACTATTATATGACTTAGAAATACAGTTATTTTCTAAATAACGTGCTATAGGATAGTGACGTATCGTTTATACACATTCATTTATCTTTAGTTTATTCTTATTATCATTATTGTCTTACGTTTTACACTTCATCAGAAGGAAAAGCTGCTCAACTGTGTATGTGTTCCATAATTATCTTACATAGATCAATTGTCTGATGACTACCCATACATTGTTGCAAAAGTTTAAATGCTTCAAATCCGAGTTGTTAATTATTGAACTTGATAAATTAACGTATGAATCTAGTCATATGGATACTAGTTGGAGGATTTTGTCATGAGCTGACACCAGTTAGAAAACCACTGGAAAACCTGCGGGGAGTACTGGAAGCTGTTTCGTCCTAGTTTGGGACTCTTCATCAGCCCGACTTTAAAATGCATATCGATATCCTTATTATTGAAGAATATATCGAATATTTATTATTTACACTGCAGCAAAAGTTAACTTTTTAACTACAATGCTTTCAATACGTACAAGAATAATGAAATTGTGCTCCGAAAGCGAAAGTTCGGTATCACAAAATCATTAGTTGGCTTCTTAAAAGTTTAGCCTGTCACTCACAGAGCAAGAAGTAAAGTAAAATTGCTGTTTATTTCGTGCTTTGGACTATACCAGATATAAAAAAATTAGATAATACTTGGATGTCATTTTTTAAGTAAAAACTGGACTGGGGAAACAGGTTGGGACTAGAAACGTGATAACAACAACATAATATTCACCAAGATTCGTTAAGCTGGAACAAAAATAAAACACATTCAAGAACTCAAAACTATATACACAATAAATACGACGATAATTACCCAGGTTTTTGAACTTCTTCACGCAGGACTCTTACAGCCTCATCATTACTCATATCTTCAAAACTGATTCTGTTCACCTCCAATATCATATCACCTGGTTCAATTCGACCATCTTGTGCAACAGCTCCACCCCTCATTATAGATCCCACGTAAATACCACCATCTCCTGCTTTGTTTGATTGACCTACGATACTAATTCCCAGAAAATTCACTGAGTCCATATTCAGTGTGACGGTGATTATATTGAGAGACATTGTGGAATCAGTAACACTGCTGAAAGAAGTAGCCTAAATATAAAGAAATAAGCGAATAAAATTCTGATATACAAAAGAATTTATAAAGCATAACTTATAGTAAACAGAGAATTAAGATGAAAGAGTAATGAAAACGGATGAAATACATTTAAGTAGTAGGCTAATGAAATTAATAGGAAAGGCCAGATCTTATTTGTATAAAGAACAGGTTCAAGTGGAAAAAGATTGAACCTTGTTGAGTTACTGCTATGAAGTATTATAATATTCAATCCCACATTCAATATTTCGTTTTCCAACATTGTACACAAGAAAATAATAGCTCTATCCCGAAACAATGTTTCTGTAATGTACAGAATTGTCAGCGGAGTTTATTGCATGATATTTTCTCTTCGTCCAGGATCTTCAAATAAAAGATTAACTGACAGTAGATCGTGTGACGAAGTTCTATCTGACCGGAAGCGCCAACCAATCCACCATTATGATACCTCTTCTTTGTCTCCTTCGAGAAATACACGACATTTGGTTGAATACCAATTATAAAACGTTCAGGAGTACATTTTGTGAACCAGGAACGGTCATCTCATGTGTTGGGATAAGCTGTCATCGAGGACAATGGTTTTTCTCAAGTTTAGTAGAAACTTGCGAATCAGCAGGTTGTAAATGTTTTAAATACTCGCCAGAGTAAACAATGCTATTAGAGGTCATATTCTACTAGATTTAAACAAACTGAATAAGAGAAACTATATGCAATATATTGATGGAGGTTTTTCGGTAGCCCAAGCTTTAAGCAGGCCTTCAAAATATGTTAATAAAGATTTAAGTGAGCTAATTAACAAAACTATGCTCATTGAGAAATATGAATAAAATGCTATCAATTTGAAGTCACATAGTAAAAGTGTGACTGCTTTTAATTGGTATTTGGAATAATGGAGATAAGATTTTTGGACCACTGAGCGGCAGGTGAATACTCTGAAAGTAGTGTTTATCCGAGATAAAAGAGATTTCATGCAAGGGAGAATTGCATACAACCCTTATATTAAAGTAGCCACACTTCATGTAGCACACAAAGATAGAGAAAAGAAATTCAAGAGAGCCATAATGAGCAGAAATGTACGGAAGAATGGATAGTAACCTATTAACTCTGAAGTCAATAATGCAGAACACTAAGCAGATAAGTCAACAGTTGTTTACCATAAAATCAAGAATATAACTGGAAGGGAGGACAGTTTTTAAGCTTATAATTCAGATGTAGTCGTATTACAAACCGCATAAGGCCGTGTACAAGATGTTAGCAACTTATTATCACTGCTTGCTAAGGAACGGAGTTTCCTGGAGTTCTAGTGAGAAGTCGTGACCAGTGAGGTCCAACCAGTCAATTGTGAGGATGGATTTCCCACCGATAACATTGGTTGGTGGTCGCGCTAAATCACGAATTGGTAGAAGTTAGAATTCATGCGCCATTGAATCGGGTCCCAGTGGCTGAATGGTATACGAGCTTGACTTGTAACCCAAAGGTCCTGGGTTCGAACCTTGGCAGTGGGTGCGTACTCCCGATGATTCCCAAACTAGGATGAAACAGCTGTCCAGTACTCCCTGGTTTTCAATAGTTCTCTAACTGATATCAATCCGTGGTCAAACTCTTAAAAATCAAAAACCCTATTGGATCAGAGATTGATTATTTTTGTATCCTAGGTTTATTCAAAAAGCCTCGCTTTATTCGACTTTTTATAACTTATCATTATAGTCTACCACAGTGCCAAAGTTCTATTTTTGACCACAAGCCAATACATCAAATGTGAGTTGTACACATCTCAGCATCTTATCCATCACAATTCCATCAAGTATGGTATGACCTAGGGTTCAATTTTTCTGAAGTGTGTTTATTTTTGTATACACTTGTATAATGCATATGCTTATCATTATTTTCATTTAATTATGAGTCAGACATGCCCTTCACATTAGTATAAGTAGTAATATGCTGTAAAATAAGCACACATAATTCACTTTTCACGTGGCGCCTATTATTTCAACGGTTAAAGGAAAGGCAATGTGTGTTTGTATGAGAAAGAAGTCAATGTGAATCATATATATATATATATATATATATATATATATATATATAGTCAATATTTCTAACTAATCAGTATGCACCTGAAACAACCAACAAATAAAGAAAAAATACTAATAACCAATTTTACACTAAGTTATTATTATTATCTTTTTTCAATAAAAAAACAAAGTGTTCAGAAGTTATGGTGTGATGGCATTATTCTGCCTATACACATCAACGTAAGAGCAAAACACTGAGGCATACATATGTATATATGCACAGTTTTTGCCTAGGAAGAAAGGTAGGGAAAATAAATCATATAAAATCTGGTAAGATGAATCATCATAAATTACTGGACATAGATTGTTAAGAGACAGTCGTAAATATGAGAATGGAGAAAAAATATATAAATATTTTTCCTTCGAACTGTCATTTCTATAGACGTACACTTTGCAAGTGTTAGTTATACCATCATCATAGAATGTAGTAATACACAAAATAAACTACCTGTCGATAAAAGAATAAGCAATTCTCAGGATTCAATCGGTCGACTTATCAACAACAAAAATGAGTAATATTGAAAAACACTATTCAGGGTGAGGATAAAAGCTGTTATGAGGTGATTTCGTAAATAGTGTAATAGCAAACGTCGCAACGGATATACTAGCTGAGTAAAAAGGTTGATAAAACAACCAAACATAATATCTTATATGATTACAACATTCCTCTAAGCACTTAAATACAAACTCAACTACTTGAGGAATTTCAAATCGTAATCGACCGCCTCCACTCTGCACACACAAGTATATTGAGAAAAAGAGTGCAGCAAGTTCGTTTTGTAATAAGTTATATCCTCACTCCATTTTTAAACTATATGAATATTGAATGTAGCAGCTTCACAGGCTTTATTGGATGAGTGATTATAGTGAAACGAAACCTGCCGCACTCCCACTTCAATATACTTGAATAGGTAGAGCAGAGACGGTCAATTACCATTTGAATTTCTTCTCGCAACTGGGTCTAACGTGATTTTGTTTAACATGCTAAGAGGAATGCTGTAATCAGATTGGAAGTTAAAGCTTGATTGTTTTAAAGGTGTTTTTTCAACGTTTTTACGCAGCTGAAATATCTATTATGACGTTCGCTATACTATCTCACAATGGGTTTTATCCTCATCCCTTTAATATTACTTTTCAAACATGCATGGATAAATCTTATACAAGGCCGGACATACAATATAAACCTATTCCAGTTTGATCACGGATTGATGTCGGTTCGAGAGCCATTGTGAACCTGGGAGTACTACTGGATAGTTGTTTCACCCTAGTTTAGGACACTCCACAGTAGTCACCCACTGGGTTTCGAACCCAGGACATTCCGGTTACAAGGCAAGCTCGTATACCATTTGCCTCACTAGTGAATGGCTACAGGACAAAATTGCCTGGAGTTCTAGGGACCATCGGGCTTTATCCGGTCGGGCGTGGGGACAAATATTCACCGATGACACTGGCTGGTGGTCTCGCTTAAATCAGGACTTGATAGATGTTGGAATTTATGAGCCATTGGATCGGATCCCAGTGCCTGGTCAGTCTACAAGCTTGCCTTGTAACCGGAAGGTCCTAGATTCGAACCCAAGTGGGTGCGTACTTCGGAAGAGTCCTGAACTAGGACAAAACAGCTGTCCAGAAGTACTCCCAGACTTTCAATGGTTCTCAAATTGAAATCAATCTATGATCAAACTTGAAACAAATCAACTCTCTACAAACTAACTCTTGAAAATAAATCTAATCAAGGCATCCTTTATTGAACAGTAATTAGCATTAGTAAGTAGAGTAGTAAACCTTTTTTGAAGGTATTAGATCTTTTATTTCAATCGATAAGAGATTTACAAAAATAGCAGGCTTGTGCATTTTTTACCTATTTAAATTTCATGTTTGTCATGAGAATGCAGAAACCATATTCTCATATACGTCTTTAATCACATTTGGTGAATTCAAAAAGTCAACCTATTAAGTTTTTCAATAAAGTTTTGCGTCAGCAATAAACTGAACAAAGTATGATCGCGCTTCATCTTAGAAAGGAAGAAGAAGAAGAAATAACTATAAACTCTGCTAACACAAAAAGTTAGGGATGATGATAACCTGTGAATGTAAAACCCTTTGAAAGCGTATTTTTCCAAAATATTTTCATAACATTATCTTATGTAACAGACTATCAGGGATAACCATTCGGTTGCAACTGAGCTGAACCGAACAGCTCTAGTGCTTTATCAAGCAATTCACGCTGTCCATCATTTTCTTAAAAATCATAAAAGTAGCAAGTTTAAGTGTCATGTGAATAGGACATGGATCTGTTTGTGTAGTACCACAGTAGACCTACGTTTTAATGTCAAAATATTGAAATCTGATTTGAATTTAATCTCTGCAGATACCGTATTTCTACGGTTATTCCAATATAAATTTATCTGTCATACTTTGTAATCCATAAACTCTTTGATACGACTGAGCATGGGTAGATTTCAACATTCCCCTTGAAACACTATCATATGGCCACGTGTTTATGGCCTCTGTCAGGTAATTCTTATTCACTGCCTTCTTGCAGCAGGAGTGTTCTCCGCAAAAGTGAAAGGGCGAATGAGAACGTCTGGTACTCACAACCGGGCTGATGGACATGCAGGTCTACCTAGAGGAGCTGGAAAACCCTAATTCCGAAACTATGGTGCAAATAAGCTCGAAAATTTTAAAGGATCGGATGGGGCTTGAATCTATCTTGGTCACCGGTAACTATAGAGAATGCAGCTCCTGATACTGCTTCACTGCCTTGCGGATCAGGCTTCAGTTCAAAGGCTCGGGAGGTAGCCTCTTAAGAGAACCACCTGTGCTTCAGTCTAGGCGTTTGGGATGTGTCCAAGATCTCGCATGAAATTTCGTGTGGCTCAATTCTTGGTGCCCACAATCTACTAAGATTGTTCTTATTAATAATAAACTTTGTAATCCCCAATGTGAATTAATGCATAAAAAAATGAAGATACTAGAAAACACTTAAATGTCTTTAAGATAGGTTTTGTTGTCAATCATTTTATTATTAGTCTTTTCTAGATTATTCATATTGTTTATGGAATATTTGCAGTCACCTACAGAATGTTAAATTAATCGATGAGAAAATTCTAGCCAATATCTATCTAACAGTGAATAGATAATCATAGCTCTGAACAAATTATATATATATATATATATATATATATATTTGAAATGGCTTTGGAGATATACGTAACGATCAAGTAAGGTGATGAGAATATGACATTTTTTCCTCTTGGTTAGCAGAAATAAATCTGAATTACTTGGAAAACAAGCAGGTTGTGTATTGAATGACAATTAACACTCATTTATTTCGCATACATTTATGACTTATAATTGGCAAAATGTTTATGACAGTAGATTAGTTTTCTACTTGCAAGTATATTTGGCTAATTTCTTTTATTTTTTAACTGACACAGAGTTAGTTGATCGGTAAACGGAAAAGTGTTATGAATTTAGATAAGCATTGCTCTAGACAACTTGAAGAAAATAATACATTTGTATTGTGACTTTTCGGTGCTTATTTGTCGTGTTTCACCCAGAATATCTCGATAACTTTAAAACGCTTGAAGGGTTCTCTTTCCAAATTCTCGCTACCTGTGTCGTGCAGACAATATAATCAGTGAACAATTAAACTTTCAGCACACAATGTAGCTGTGTCCAATTTAACTGCTGTAATTTGAAACTATCAGGTAGTTGGGATCCGATTATCACTTGCAGCAGTGTGAGGAATGACCAGGCTAATGGTCAAGTTTCACGCAAAGGAGAAAGAGATCAATAAACAACAAGTGTAATTTGGGTGAACTGACATTATGAAGTAACATACTACCTATGCATTATATACGACTAAACGCGTAACGACAAGATTGGGATTGATTTAAGATCATCAGGAAGCCATTGACTGCCAGTATCATCCTTGTTGGTTGTTTCATTACAACACAGCAGGGTATTTAAGAGATTAATATCCGTCAGATGAACTTACACAGTAAAGTATTCAAAGAGAGTTTTAAAGATGCTATTAATGTTTACTAGACTATGGTTAAACATGGTTTCTGTATTCCTAAGTTAATCCTTCGGTCAATTTTTGGTTCTTATGACGCTGAAAATGATAGTAATACCAATCATTGCGTGTAAATGTGTAAATCTCAATGAAAACAACAACAAAAAGTGCACTCAATAACATTCATTAGGACATTAATAAGATTATAAAACCTACATCTTCACTGGTACGTCTTATCGGCAATATCCGTCGATGTCTTCGTTGCCGTCTATGTCTACCGTATTTGGCAGAGGACATAGTTGTACCTGTGGCAGTTGAGAATCTGAAACAATTTTTTAACAAGAAAGAAATATTTATTCATTTAAAAGCATAAACACCTAGCGAGTTAACAGAATAGGCATACAAGCATTGTTAATAGCTGGAAAAAGTTGAATTTATTATCCGAGGTTTAAACTGAAGTTTTTCACTGGTCTAAGCATTCTTAGTGCTTAACGATAGATACTTCACATATTCATATGTAAGAAAAGACAAATTGATGTAAGAAGCTTTGATATAAATCTCAACATCATCTTCTTTGGGAGAATCACCTAGTTTGACATAACTCCTTTTTTTGATTAATGTCAATGTTGAAATGAATACTAGGAAATCACTCTATCGATTATTTTCCATAAAGATAACAGGATATTCACATGCCTAGGATTGGTGTGACATGATAGAAAAGGACCTTAAAAAGATTACATCACTATACAATAAACCTTTGTTTTACAAGCTATTAACTTAAGTTACAGGGATAATTGTGGACCAATAACAAGAGTTCTGAAGACTCAATTGAAAAGTCTCAGTGGTGCATTTAAATTCAGTGACTAGCATATTCATTCTATCATTTTCAACTTTTATCGTTTTGTTTTGCACTACTGTAATATCAGGCCTTACATCCTTAATATGCTTGCTATTCAGTCAGATTCAAAGCCAATTAGTTATAGTTCATATCTCATAGCTTTTAGGTGGAATTTGTCCACTAACTTTAAAATTTTTTAATCTTGAACAAAGCGAAAAAACATACAGCAGGATAAAAGGGATGACCCATTTTGGATAAATGGTATTTGGGTTGATAGTTTATTCGTTCCTGAATTTTCCATTTGAGACAAAAAGGGTACAAGAAGCTGTCCAACTACTAAAAGTTAATCTAGAAAGCAAAAGATAATAAGCAGAGATGAGGATCTAATTGAAAAGTAAATATTTCTTCTTCTCTCTGTCGTTTTGCTTTCTAAGTGTCTAAATGGGTAATTTCTCTATATTAAAAGTTAATCAACTTTTTAGTAGCCTACTTCTGCAACACAGTAAATTTTGTCAAAATTCAACCCAGTTTGTCTGCGAAAATGATGCCAGGTAAAATCGAAATTGGAAAGCATTAGGATCGCATATTATTAATCTTTTCAGATCACAACGGTTCTGTTTCTAATTTCTGTGATTTAACATAACCAGACTACAAAGTACCATGTGGTTAACTGCTCTGAATTCACAACAGTAACTTGCACCTTGCTACATTTCTGGATTTAAATGTCAGGTATAGCTGTTTGCTACATCTTCACACTTCATGTATCACCTAAAAGATAGTTGTGTAGTACTGTTATGCGCTTCACAATAACTGCAGCGTGAAACCTAACGATTCAATTTTATACTCCATGACATCTACTTTGTATAATCAACCGGGTAGCATCACAAGCCTTCACATTTTAAGTGCGGCTTAGTGCATAAACCACTTCTGAAGTGATTAGTAGAACGCGAGACATAGGAGACGACAAATGAACCGCAATATACATAAAGCAACTATGCATACTCAATCATATTTAATTAAAACCCAGAGAATTGAATGAAGAATCCTCAGATAATGTTGAATAAGCCTGTGTTAAATTCAGTTTTTATTTAAAAACAATGTCTTCATATCAATCTCCTAAACGAAAATTTAGCAACTTTGCAGATGACATTCAAAATATGCGTGTAAAATAACCTTACCAAGCGAATTACCTTATAAACACGAAGACTAGTTGTAATAAAAGAAAATAAAGGAGTAGTTTCCACTCGGCTATACATAAGCCAACTAGTACTTTACCTTAAACCCGCATCTGACCTATAGTTTAACCTACCAACTTCATAATTAAGTGGTTGGCTGAACAAACAGAAAGAAACACCTAGCACATATTTGTAAGATCGGTAGGTGCAAATATTACCTTATCAGAATAAATACCTTAATGCTCAAAAAGGAAAGATAATTGAGGCCTACTACGAAAAAATATTAAACAGACTATCAGCTTCAAGAGTTACTGAAGATCGAAGTTCATATCTTAAGCACGACAAAATTACCAAATGAGCAATAATATCTCTATATACTTACTAAGAACTACCTTTTCTATAATTTTAATGAAAAAAAATATTTAGAGTAGGCTTACCGACTTGATTCATCCTCTGAATCGAAAAAGCTTGTGGATTCCAGATCAGAACTCATCATAGACGAAGAAGTTTCGTAGTTTTGAATTCTTTGGCCCAGTTTTGCCAAACGTGAACCTGGAAACAATTTAAGCCATTAAGAATTTCAATCCACAACAAACCAAAATACATAATCGCACAGGTTAGACTGCCTAGTCTTACGTTTTCGTTCTTCAGTAAAACCAAATTATCAATGACAGAAAAAACATGAAGACAACTGTTATGAATCAATCAGTTTCAGCTGCCATATGGGTTTCCTGTAGGGACGAATTGATGTTGCCTGCAGCAGATCTTGAGATATCTATCCAGTGATGGTCACCCACAGAGAAACCTAAGTAAAACGTAACATCCATCCTGGACTCCTGTGTTAGTTATTAGATGCACATGTTACTCAGATCAAACAATAGGCAGTATTGAAGAGATCGTATATGGATCTCATGTATTAGCAGAGTCTAGCCGATTCTTCCCCGGACATCAAGAACGGTAAAGATAAAATGTCCAATAATTAACTGATACCTGCCGGACAACATATTACTTAAAGAATAACGCTATGGCACTTTAAAAATGAATTCGGTGTTTGAGTCCACTGGGGTGCAGTTAAGTCCGAATAATGAGTCCCAATTAGCAAGAAGTAGCACACCTTGGGTTTCATTGCTAACAGTCACCCAATAAGTATTATTACAGAACTTATGGGAAGACAAATTTCAGTTTGATCCAAGACTCAAATCCAACCTTCATACAAATAAAATCAAAGGTAACCACGTTTTATCTGCATTAATGAAAACACCAATATACTTTTACTCTCATAAAAGCCCAAATTAGGAAAGATTATTTCATTTTTCATACTTGGTTGACATTACGAACATTAAAACGAATAAAGTAACAAATACTAAGTTTAGTTTCAGTAGTAATTTTCCTCAGTTAGAGGCTATGTTTGGTGCACATCTAGTAAACACCTAGTTAAGAAACAATGCCATCTTAGACAAGGAAAAAAAATTGAAATGGGTACATTAAACCGGTGGTTAGAACCGCTTAAAATATCGTCAAAGGCCAAAACTTTAGTATTTCTCACCCGGCAGTTACGATAAAATCGTATGTAATTTAAATGAATAGGAATCTGTAGTAGGCATTACGCGACGTAAATAATTTAGAGAATAGTTCAGTACAATCTCTAAACCCGGTGTGAACTTTGTCTCTATACTAGATGAACATGAAAACATGGTCATGTTAATACTTCAAACAAAAGTTTTTAAATAAACAAAAACGTATGAGTGAATGGGATATAGAATGACCTTATAGCAGTTTCATTAAGCTAAAACAATACAGCTGGTAAGAACTAGCAATTCAGTTTTAATTTATGTTCTGGATAATGATTCATATATGTTCTGAGGTAGTTACAGAGAAAAAACATGGTTGTTCAAACCTGAAAAGACTGGGGTGTGAGGGTGAAAACCCATGAATCATTGATGGAATGAAGTGTCTAGATTAATAACTACCTGGATAAAAAGCTTAATAACAATTTATTTCTCTAAAAACTAGCCATTAACATGCAATTTCAGCTGTAAACTAAAATACATGGTTACATGGGTTCTTTTTATAACTGAACCAACTATTTCTTACAGTTGTAAGATAACAAAGTATGAGGTAAAAGTCAGTGATATTTAAAAATTATTTCATTTCTGATTAGTTACACTAAATAAAATAAAAATTTATCTGCTATTTTGTTTATATACTTATTACATAATTTGAGGAACAAAGCTAACTTAGCATTGTACTGCTTTTTTCATTCCTTGCGTTCTGAGCACAGCATAGGGCTTCAAATTTTGAAGTTTCAGTAACGATAGTGTTTTTTACGGAGTAGGGTTGCTAGCCTAAAGCCCAACCTTCCCTGTTTTCCGAGACTACTAACATGTAGTAAACTAGGCAAGATTTCAGAGTGCATAGTCCGAGATTAGAATCTGAACCTCTCGAGTGGTTGGTGAACACCCCACTTCTAAACTGCTTACTTATTTAATTCCTGTATTGCCTCAAGAGGCCATTGATTTATATCTGAATCAGCGAAATTCAGAACAGGTAATTGTGTGGCACAATAAATGAAACATTTACTTGGTACAACTCTATGCTTGTTCAATATTTTAATCTGAACTAATAACATCTGTACCGAAATCCAGCCTACTTCTAATCTCAATGAAATTCATATTAAACAAATTGTGAAGAATCTATTCTTGAAGAGAAATAAGGCAGGTGTGAAAAGTCTGGTCTTTCTTCACTTCAAGTATTTCCGTGAGAGGTTAAATTGAGTGTTTATGTCATTTTGTAACCATCTAAAAAAGCGCAATACGGTAGATAGTTCAATTTAACACCTCAGTAAAATTTGTACTGATGATGAAAAAGGTAGGCTTAAACTTTGAATGTAATCTCTCGGCCAATAACAAAATTGGGAAGCTATGTAATTATTTTTACTTCAAGCAACCAATCTAAAGATTGAACATTATTTGTTACGCTGTAATTTCTTTTCTTGTATCCCGGCGGTTATATTTAGTGCAAAACTGAGAACTAATTAAGCTAGACTGAAGAGTCAACTTAAGCATATAAGATTATGTTGTTTGTTTTTCAAATTAACGTTGCTTACCATGTTTGTAATTGTTGAAATTCTTCAGAGGGGGGACACGATCTATAAAAGAAAGTACATGCGAAACTTATTGAAAATGTGTCAGGAGATAAATACACTGTTTAAATAACCTTAAAAGTAACTAAGTAAAATATGTCTGTACTCATCAGTTGCCAAATAAACATAAAATTCCAGCTACATCTTTCATATAATAGTTGCAGATATTCTCGTGGCTTTGTCGGCTTATATGTTAGTGTTACTTTCATTACAGCTTTCGGCATTGTCCTCGACAACATTTTCATGAGGAATCTACGCCTTTTACACGATATCAAGCAAACTCTTACGATTTTCAAATGCTCGAAACTAGTTTGGTCAATAACGCTGAAATAAATCAGTGTCAATATAAACACAAACTGTTATACTGTGCCTAAAACAAATGTTGAGCAAATGTTAGAAACTTATCACTAAACTATAAGCGAAACTCATTCATTTTGTACTATTCAGTGGTCTACAGATATGGTGAATTGACATACAGTGTTATCACGGTTAGACCTAACGCTGTTTCACATTATCAAACTTGACAACAGAGGAGAAAGGTTCAACATGCAACCATACTTGTTGATAATTATGTGCGGCGGTAATAACCATTAACAACAAGTGTTAGAGTGTGGAGGAAATCACAAATTGTCCTTGTATTCAAAAAGTCTAGAATTTACAAATACAAATTTATACAAACATTCACAATCCCATTTAACTTACCACCGCTATACACTGAATCCGTTTCAACACATGTATCACATTCCTCCAACCCATGACCTGTCGTGCCTATGGCATGTTCTTGTTCACTGGGAATTTCAGTTTTAGATGCACTATGAGCATTGTCAGAATTTTTGTTGAAGCTGGAATAGGATACATTTTATATTATGAAGTGAGACGAATGAAAGTTATGACCGCTAGAGATTTAGAATGAAATAGTTACTAATCAAAAGCCAAAGAAATAGCACGTGTGTCAAAAGACAGAAACATTCTAAATAACTGAACGAATAACATAGGCACATAAGCTATATCTACACAACATTTCGTTCAACAAACTGGTTTGAGCTACTTCAAGTAAAACTTAATGGAAATGTGGCTTAATGATTTAGGCACTAAATTTTCAGTCGATAAACCTGCTGGTTCGAACCCTGCCTCACCTACTTTAAGCTCAGCAACTAGGTAGTACCCCCACCCCTCACACAGTAATTATCTCAAGGAGTCGTACATGGAAAATCTGTCTCAGGTAACTGAGTTCCAACGAAGAGGAAATTTCTGAATGTCACACCACGAAGAGCATGAGTCGATACTAATTCTTCTGTATTTTGTGACCCATTTTACCTACTTATCTGAAGCATTCCTAAAAATCAAGATGAACAGATATGACAGCTTCTACTAGTAATCACACGCCTCTGAGAGCACTATCGCGATAATTGGTATGTGGCAGAACAAACAACTACTTACATCAGACCAAAATGTCTGCTAAGTTTTTGTGTGGGAAATACAGAGAAAATATTCAGACACAATCAAAGAAATTTAAGTTTTTCATAAGCACTATGTAACAAGTGAATGTTGTGAAGATGTAGCTCACTGTTTCAGGCAGTTGATTTTCAACTACTGAGCAACAAATTAGAAATGTTTCATTCGTCAAAATTTGGAAAGACAGATGGTATAGTCTGATTTCGAATAAAAAGGTTGACTCAATACAAAGTCCGTGAACACGTACACAGTTGTTTAGTAAAATTACTTTCACTTGAGTGGAGGTTCATATGACAGATTACTTCAACCAATACATTAAAGTGCATATATAACGCATTGGTTTCATAAAGTACAGATATGTTTGAATCATTTCAAATTTAATGTAACTTTTATGCTGTGAAAAAGTATACTAAAAAGCAAAAGATTCGGAATCCTTTGCCTGCAGAGACTATCCTGAAACCAACAAGCCATTATGAAGTTTTCCTATACCACGGTTATTGTCATTTAATACCAAAATAGCATTTCAAGTAAACTTAGCAGCTCCTAAAACAAAGCTTAGAGTTTCAGCGCACCCGCGAGAGAAACTGTGGAGCTACTACATTTCCAAATGAATAAACATAAAGGTATATATATATATATACATGAGTGACCAATTAATCATCGGTCCATACCAAACTAAGAAAGCTAATAACGTTACAGGATCCCTCAAATTCAGACCAGTGATTTAGGGTTGAAAATGTAATCTGATGTCTGGGTTTTGACTTAGTGAAACAATTCCAACGCTTCTTAAGTATTTACCAAGTGAAAGAAAAAAATTCCATATAAATCCTGTACATTTTAATTCATCCATTTATGAGGAAGTACTAATCATTCTTGACTTATGTCGATTTCGAGTGACCATTGGTATTTTTGCATATTTTTAGTGTGTACGTTATCCTGAAGAATTTAATCAGTCTATAAATACATTTGGAAGTGGCAGTCGGTAACAATACAAATCGGACTCGACTGTCGCAACCCTTTTGTCATAAAATCGAACCAATCACGATGCATCATGGTGATTTCGCTAGGAAAATCTGAATGCAAGACAGAAAAAGTTATCACGTCTCAAAAACCTGGCAAATGAGAAAAGCCGTAACAAACTCAGGATGATATCTTAAGTGTTTAGCTACGTGATCTCCCACACTCACAAGGTGTATCCACTTTCCATATCTATGTAGACCTAGAAAATCTGATACGCAAATGCTAAAGGCTCAGAATAATAAACATGCGCACCATATTCCTGGAATGTTGATGTGCATGTTTGTAGGCCCAAATGAAATTATAGAGGTAGATTTATATATCAGTTTTGGGGAAATGTAACCAGAAATCGACAATATCCTCAAAGCCCCAGAATTATCTCGCTTGCTCATAAATTATGCCGAAACTCCTACCTACTACCTCAAGTTTCCCAAAAATGATTACAAAAGGACATCTGGATACATTGCTGTGTATGACTGAATTAAAAAATTACTTCCATATTAACGGAAGTCAGACAAAAGATACCTAGTTTTCATACGAACTTACTTTGCGGAACTCTTGTTTTGACTTGAAAAGTGGTTTTCACCAGTCCCATTTGAGTGATTATCAGATTTTGTGCTACTATCTGCAGAAACAAGCTACGAAAAATATTTAAAATTCGACAGTCGCAATTACCCAGGAAATAACCTTTCCATTGAAACATGGTAATCTTGCGTCATCATCTGTTATTTCCTCCTTTACAACACTAGAACAAAGAATATTAAATTTAATGTTGATGCAACCCAACCCAAAATCAGCATCCACTGACTTAAAGAAAAACTTGTAATTTGGTCTATTTAGTGCATTTTTGAAGTCACCCAAAGTAACAGTGTTTGGGCACACTGCGAGTTTAACTAAGTAAGGTGTTTCTTCATCATCTATGTGATAAATAATCTTCGTATCGTCCATCTGGACTGCTCGTGTTACGACGTTTTCATAATAGGACCAGTAATGAAATTTCTCCTTTGATCGTTTTAAACAATTATGGGGCAGACAGAGTGCTTATTATTTTTATGTTAATTTGTTATGTTTTCAATGTAACATTCTGAACCGAATGATCAGGATCGAGACTTTTCCTTATGAATGGAAACATTTGTTAGTCTAGTAACCAGGATGATACTAGTTTTATTAAACTTCCATGCCCTTGTCATTGGGTTTGGTTCTATTTTTTCTGAGGCAGTCTTTCTGTAGTCACAATAGCCTCTTCATGAATTCAGTTTTGATGTGATGATTTTACTTGTTACCCTTATGTGATTTATAGACTGTAAAGTCCTGTGAGATTCAATAATTTCTTAGTGGTTTAGAGGCTGATGGTATTGACGTTCGCGAATTGTACGGAGTATACTAACGCAAGATCTTATACCAACAACTTCTATAGGATTCATTCCTCTTGGACCAAAGGCAAAGCAAAATACCAGATTTAGTCGTCCAAACTACGAGATATATTTCAGGACCAAATCGTAGACTGAGTTGGATGCTTAACTGACTAGTGATCGTGCACGAACGTGACACGACGGAGTACTGAATGGCATGGATGCTTGACCGGAAGCCTTCAGCTAAACAAGTCGATTTATATATTCTTCAAGATGTCTAATAAAAGCCACCGCTTCAAAACCACATCAGGGCCGTCGCAAAAGATATGCAACTCTTTAGCTGACTGATTTACGTACAAAAGCCGTGGACATCGCGAAAATGATGCATTCGCAACCATTTCGAAGCTAAACAGAAATTGTATCCATAGGTTGACTTCATGCTGACCTATTTCTTCATTCCATTCTAAGCCCAGTTTGCATAATCCTTGTAGTAGTTGTTTAGCAGGTAAGTCTATAGGTACTAAGAAGCTTGAAGGGTCACACAGCGAAGTTACCACTGAAAAAATCCCATGCTTGTTTATGGGCTTATCAGGTACGTGTATGTCTGATGACAAATCTGATGTGTGCCCGGTATAGCGTCTCTCAAATCTCTACTCGATTTAGTTCAAGTTTCGCTGACGGTATAGACTCAACCTCATTCATGAAGTTGCTGACCCATCACGTCAGTCGAAAACCTCCACTCACTGGAAGCGATCCCATCCATTCAGCTGAATAAATAGGATGTTAAAGAATGTCCGTTGATTACAGAATTTCATCATGAGCTGATATTGGTTAGAGAACCAGTGGAAAAACCTGGGAGTGCGGAACAGCAGTTTCGTCCTAATTTTGGACTCTTCAACAGTGCTCAGCTACCATGGTTCTAACCCAGCACCCTCTAGTTACAAGGCAAGCTCGTAGATCATTAAGCCACTGGAATCCACTGGGTCGTGTGCTGACGGAGATTCTCAAACTTGGACGAAACACCTGTCCAGCACTAACAAGGTTTACAATGGTTCTCTAACCGATGTCAGCACACGATGAAATCCTGTAAGCGATCAATCAATTCCCTAGAAACCAATACTTCAATATTCGATCAATCTAATTAGTCATCCTCATAGGGACACTTTTCTAAAATTTTGAGAACCAGTTTTATCTTAACCTTAGTGAAATGATCTCCAGATATGCTAATAGGTTGAGAATCCTTTACAAATTCACTGACTAGTAGACGAGCAATCATATGTTCCTGTTCAAATGCATCGTGCATTGCTTGCATGGCCCTTTCTTAGCCGAGGTCTGTAGGATGTGCAACACAAGCTTTAATAGCCATTCTCGCCTTTCCTTGGCAAATTGGCAAAGATGAGTCAACATCTGCCTCTTGTCATCCAATTCACTCTCAGTCATGATCCGAAGCTGATTAAAAACATTTTGAACTGACTAGTGTTACTATCAAAGTACATTATATCAAACCTAGACATGCACATATTGTTAACTGTAATGCTCAGGGATTCGTTTAATTCTGAGACGAACGCGTCCCTTTTCCTAACTCTTAAGCTATCGTCCTTCATCTCAGAATTACCAGCAAGCTCACAATCGAGCTACCTCAAATCCTCCTTAAATTCTAACTTTCTTGCCAATTTATCCTTGCATTGAGAAGTAGGTGAAAAATTCTCATAATTACTACTGCTATTACACAAATCATGAGAAATAACACAGATATCTTCATCGATAACTTCATCAATCAAAGATTGAAGTAAAACCGAATCCCCTTGCAAGGGGTTGTCCTGTTGTACTGGACTTGGATTTCAATGGTTTCATATTACACAGTCAAAATTCAGTGTATTAATCTCAAGAGCTTTTTATACCCTTTCAAAACAGGTCTGAATAATCTTAAGCTCCAACAAAGTGAACTGGAGAACCTGTGTCCTCTGCCAAACCTAAATTTGAAGAACTTTATTGTACTGCTACTGAGCAAACAACTATCTGAAGATACAGAATTGCACCCTTCGACGAAACCCAAGCCGAAAACAAATTGTTGCAAACGGAATTATATTAACAATAAATTGTTGAAGACAATGCAGGATATATTGTTCCACTCAACAAAATATTCAAATAAACGTGATACAAACTTTCAAGTATGAGATTATCCGGCATCCAAATACTAAGAACACCGTAACTGAACACAGAATGGCTGACGGCTAACTCAAATGCACAAAAAGTGTCCAACAGTCCAATGAACCGCGAACGGTCTAATAAACACAAAATGCAAAATGATATACGCAGTACAACTTTAGTTTTTGTCTGTGCAATACTGTGCGTAACATTTACTTTAAACAAAATATTATCTGCTACTTTCAGTCTTTGTGCACCCGGTATATTGGAGACAGTCCCATTCAATTTTGTCTGTGTTGTTTTAACCAATTTACCTATGGCAAGGTGTATCCAGTCATCTACCTTAGTTACTGTCTTTCTCGTTGAAGAGCTTTTCTATTGATTAAGACATAATGTGGTCAGGTCGCTATTAATCCCGTGTCAGCTGAAGTGATAATGTGAAACGCTGTGTGCAAGGTTAACGACTAAGTCACTATACGTACTGTGTTGCATTGAAACAGGGCGAAAACTTCTAGACACCACAATGCCTGTCCGATAATTTTCAAGATGAAGCTATCTCCATAGAAAGTTTCGAATTTGAGTCCATAGAAGTATGTCAGTAACACTACTAGAAAAATTTGATGTAACCAGAAGACAGCTTTCCGGAATTCAGAATGTTTTATGTATCTAATAATAACTAGTTCACATTCAATACAAGTGTTATTAAGAGACAGGCACAAAGTTGAAGATTTATTGATTCACCAAGGATTAAAACAACATAACAGGCTAATTGTGTTTCAGCTTGACCACGAGATTCACAGTCGCTTACTGTCAATACAATGAAAAAGTGTACAAACAACTGTAGTATAATGCACATTAGTACTTCTTATCGTATTGATCAGGTCTTCTGTCAGTGAGCAAACGTCTAAGCCACGACACGGACGGTTGCTCCAAACGAAGGGGAAACTGGTTCGGATAAACAAGTTTATTGTACGATCACTCAGTGTTCACCATCACAGAAAAGTAAGAAATATCAGTAATAGCAGTTATTTCCGAGAATCAGTAAGTTGCAACTGGTAGTAGCACTACTTGTTTTCTACCACAGAAACTCGGGCTGTTGAAAAGCCTTCCTTGGTGAAGTTAAAATCTCGCGGTTGCGATGGTGAGCAAAAACTATTTGTTTCTGATGGAAATTATCGTGCGGCCGTTATATTTCGCAAAGTTGATTCTAACTGCATATGCCTTATTTTATCTATTTCACATATGCACGCCCGATGTAATCGGACCAAAAAGTTAGAATACAGCAACTCAGTAAAGACTACAGATTATTATTACTCATCCTTTTGTTCCAGTATGAATACATGGTTATGGCTGTACTTCCTTTTTCGCACACTGTTTCCTGCCGTCAGTTTCAAGGTGGTCTAGGGATGGATATGTTAGGTCGCTTGCACAGATTCGAGCTAACTTCCAGTTGGCTTCAACCAGAAGTAATGTTCGTGACTGCCATGTGACTATCAATCCTGCTAGACCTGAGCGCTAGCCACACTACTGCTGACTTTGTAGCCTGGCCCACCTAATCTGGTGGCCAAACTGCTCATAACATCGCCACAAATATTGAAAAGAATATAACTCACGGCTACTGAAAGATGTGTTTATTGATGATGACATGAAGTGAGCGTGCAAGTAGATAATCATATCACAGTCAAGCCTCAGATCTTTTGCCATTTGAAGATAATATTGGTTATCATGTGTTTAAGATCGCATGGGTAAACAAACTTATCGTTGGCAGTGAAACGGCTGAGGTTCAGATGAGTTGACGAACTTCTTTGAACCCCTACAGTGGCTATACAGTTACTTAAAAGGTTCCATTTTCTTTCCAAATGGTCTCCTGTATGTCATCCTTAAAAGCCCAACTCTTCAATCCTCATTAGTGTTTCAATCAAGAGCCTGCTATTTATGTTATCTTCGCCGGTACTCTATTTTCCAGACCTAATATTTCACGAATTTAAAATGACCCAATGAAGTGTCTCTTGTCAAAAAGGCAGGTTTTCACAGTCTTAAATGACGAATTATCAGAAGAAGTGGAAGCATGGTTTGTGGATATTAATGGTGTTTTTTAATCTACGACTAATATTTGAAGTCAAGTCAACACCAAGTTGCGGCACCGCACAAGAGCGAATGTAGAATCAGATTAACTTAATTGAGTGCTTTCATACTTCTATGACCCCCCGGGTAACGAATAATTCGTGAGCAACATGGAGCAGATTTACCGCCATATTCAATCACCACTAAATTGTGATTATATGTAAATTGCAAATTTTTTAAAATCACGTCATATAACTTTGACTTTATCAAATACTTTAACAAAAAAGAAACTGGAGCAGCTTATCTAAAGACCTCTTATCACTTTGATTATGAGACTGCAGTGAATGAAATTGCAGAAAAACCCCTACCCTGAGCAGTTTACGTCTTCTCACCCCGTTTTCTCGGCACGTCTCCCCTCAAAGTCAGTCAGCACTATTCGATATCTTTGTGATGAGCCCGTGTAAACACGACGTTTTCCTGAAGCTCGCCTCTCGATGTTGTAGGATGGTTCGAGATACTTTGCGATGTAGACTTATTTCATTTCCAGTTACAGTCCTATTTGATGTGATGAGGAGGTGGGTGTAAGTTTATTTTGTAAGGTCATGATTTAATCCAGGATAATATCACCGTTCACCCAGTAGAATAGCTAAGTCACTTGAAAAGTGAATATTTATTAAGCGACCCAAAGCAAAAGAGGAAACAAGTAGACAATGAAATATACAACATATACATATGAGATAGGAAATCGGAATAACCAAATTGGAAAAATGTAAAAAGGCATGTGAAGTGAATCACATGGATAAATATAGTGTCATGTAATCCTCCACAACTAGACTTCTTCTTCAACTGAAGTAGTCAAATTGTTCGACATTATGCAGCTGTCTTGTAGGGGACGAACAAACCCATGAAACCAGTGATCTTTGTAATGACTCATCCTACTTGTTCAGTTCATTTTTCGTCACTGCATGAGCTGGAAGGAAGAAGAGATTACAGACAATTCAAGTCTAAAGAAACGAAGGTCTAGTGACTGCACTGTGTTTTACGGCGTCTTGACAAGACTTCTTCATATTCCATTTACCTAAATATAATCTCACAGCAACCTTTAGCTAAATATTCTTTTCTTATTACCTGAATGACATTGGAGGTTGACCGATCAAAAGTTTGAGGTGGGCTAGACTAAAGAGATTTAGGGGACTGAAGAATCCTGGGTATCCATATGAGCCCTGATTCCTTCATCTTCAACGATCGGTTTGTTCATCTATATTGATGGATACCGAAGAAAGTATAGCACACAGCACATGTACTGTGTTGAGTAGTTGCATTCCTATATACCATCAATACTTTTTAACTTAAGTTAATCACGGAAAACAGTAATTATAAGCTTTCTTCATTAGTAAAGAGCTCCCTGACCACCAGGTTTTTGTGGGTCCAGTTGTATATTACTATTCGGACTCTCACAATCACACTGAGACCAGCACAGTACTATCTTCTACAGGGTGTTTCTTATAGCTGTGCGATAACAACACTTTCTTAATGAGGATGCTATTTTTGGATGTTGGTGCATGGACGTTGGCGTACTCACATACTCATGGAAGTTGTTGCTTGCGCCATCTTCTGTTTTGCACCACACTTGAAGAGAAATCGTGAAGTTCCGTAGGTAGCCGAATTTTCGCCAAGCATGGAGAAGTGTCTAGATCAAGACAAGCTGTTACTAGTTAGTGCCATAACCAGTTCAACCCCATCAGCCGCTATCACAACTGAACATGGAAAAACCCTTGAATTGCCAGTTGTCAGCCTTTTAAATAGTGAGTACTGTCACATGTGGGCTTTACCTCAAGTATTGCCTGGCAAGAAGCCTCTGTTATGACCCGTGATGTGGCAGTTTTCATTCCGATGTATTTGGTTTGCAAAGAATGTTCATTTTGACGATTAACTTTGTTACATACGATTTTCTGGTTTCAGGGAAGCTATAAGGGGTGTGGATTTCCCCTGATTCCTTGGAAAACTCTACCTAGCTGAGACAAAATATTATGCTTTGAGTGCTAAATTGAAGCTAACCATTACTGCATGTCAGTCAGGTGTTTGTTTACTAGTTAATAAACATTGCTAACATACAAAGTGATCGCAATCAGAGAGTATATAAATCTCCCCACCAAGTCTCTGCAAGTCATCCTTTTACTATTTCTACCCATATATTCAACACAGCTCCCAAAGTTGTGGTGAGAGAAGTCTTGTTGCCAGAAAATCCAGTAGCCTAATCAACATAGTAAGGTTCTTGTATGTCAGATACATACATCAAAACCACTAACATGGGTTATCCAAGACAAATTCTCTGAATAAATTTACTAGTGCGAACGTATTACACGATATTTGCAAACAGCAAGCGACATCTTGTCGGGAGGCATGCAATGCCTATCCCCATTTAGATATTTCCAATTTTAAAGGTTAACTCATACATTTTTGCTTATCTCTTACGTTCACTGTTTTGTTCTGATGCTGTTGGCTTATTGATATTCTTTTAGTCAATATAGCGCGTAGTGGGCTTTCAGGTGAACCTGAATATATAAGTTTCTAATAAACACGAAGATGTTGAATAAGTTAACTTCATATGATCATAAATAGAGGAGGATTTGAGTATTTGGAGGAGACTATTGTGGAATTAAAAAGCTAGTGGCGCTCAAAATGCCATGTGCGCTACAATGGCCTTGAATCGCTTCAGATATCCTCATTTTACGAGGACGCTAACAGACTTTGCGTTTTCAAAATACCGTTCTAGAAATGAAGGCAGCGCAAGGTGCTTGCACGCTTGTTCCTCGCCTACAATGTCTCTCATACCCATAGTACTAGACAAAACCACACATGGCGAGCGAGCTTTCGACATATACTCACGATTATTAAAAGACCGTATCATTTGTCTTATGGGGCCAATCAATGATGAGATAGCTGGCCTAGTTGTCGCACAGCTTTTATATCTTCAGTCTGAAGACAAGAAAGTCCCTATTCATATCTACATTAACAGTCCAGGTATAGCGAAGTTTTCACCAAACTATTTTTAGGAGGAGTTGTTACTGCTGGCCTGGCGATATACGATACTATGCAGTTTATAAAGCCTCCAGTTGCAACTTGGTGTGTAGGTCAGGCTAGCAGTATGGGTTCTTTGTTGCTAGCTGCTGGTGCTCCGGGTTTACGGTTCGCTCTCCCTCATTCACGAATAATGGTACATCAACCATCCGGTTCTGCCCATGGTGAGTTTGTTTACGGAACTAATCTTCCATAGGCCAGGCTTCTGATATCAAAATCCAAGCTGAAGAGATTTTAAAGATGCGTAAGATTCTTAATGCTATCTACGGGCGGCATACAAAGCAATCACAAGAGGTATGTTGGAGATAATAGATGCAAGCGTGCAACTTCTAAAAGATCAGGTGATAAAATTTCCCCTTTCAAAACCCCCATTATCTCTGAAGTTATATTTTTGATGCCTAAAATGTATAAGTGGCCATTTACATTTGGTTCTTACACTGTTAAAGGAGGGAAACATTTTTGTATATTTTTTCAGTCATATCCCATCAGAGATTGTTTCAGGTGTCATTCGATCGTGTAATTCGTGTTGTATACGGATACACTCAAAAGCTTGACCATCGATACATGCTTTACACATACTAGGAGTTACCGTTGTCATATGACAATGCTTACTGGATTGGATCTAGCAACTGCCTCCAAACACCTAACAAGCCCTACTTTTCTCGCCACCGTGTAAAAATCACTTTCCCTACCATTCTACAAAGCATTGTAGCCGTGAAACCGAAATATACTTGTAAATATTCATCTCACTCTCTCTTTGGAGTCGTGAAATTTCATGATGAGCTCGATGTCAACGTACAAGCTGGCTTGCTTGTAGAATCCCTTGTACATGACTATTTAACACCTCAGAAGGATTATAAGAATCTGTGTCACCTTTAGGATGTAGTTAATTAAAGGTTAGAGCCAACAGAAAAAATAATTAGGATTGCTATGACTGCATAACTTATTTTTATGGTCATACTAAAAGTGTGATTTGCGCTTAATGTGTTCAGTGTTTAGTTTGTAACGTGTAGTTAATTGAGTCATTGCTTTTGATTATTGTAATTTAACTGTAATTTTCGTTCCACTCGGAACACAAAAGAACTAAATAAAAAAATTAACGGCTAACAATAAAGTGAATATGTAGCTGCAGCACTGAAAACTGATTTGGGTTACATTTTGTAAATGTTGCAACATGCTGCCACAATGTCTCAGAACTCAAGACAGCTCATCACTGGTTTGGTAATTCGTGGTTTATCGCTACGTCTTCTGGAAATTATTCACTATGTGAGATATAGTATTAAATCACCGAGTTTTGTCTACAATCATCTAGTCTTATTTGTGTTAGAAATAGATCTGATTTATGAAATTGTTGGTGATACAGACCCAAACTTGAACCACGTGTTGCTAAACATATGTAGTGGGACTAAATTTATATGGCACTCAACTTCCGACCCCACTTTAAGTACTAAGTTTTGGGTAGCCAGAAGATATCACTAGCTCACACAATAAGTGTACTAGCATGCATGTGTCTGTCGATTAATGTACCTACAAAACCGTGTTTGTTGTCTGATTTCGAATCTCCTAGCAAATGGTGTAGCTCATTGTTTGATGAACAACTTCCAGCCAATAGTTCTGTGGTTCGATTTCCTTTCTACATACTACAGCCTAGACATCTAGGTAGTAACATCAGTCCTCACACCAATATTGTGGTCCATAACCTGGTACATGTGAAATGCGTTTCGGGTAACTATGTCCCAAGTAACTAGTGATAGATACTCGTTTTATCAAAATACTGTCCATATTTAAACCTATATACTGATAAAACTTACTGAGTATGTTACTATGTGCCATTATTTAAATCATTGATATTCGTATTATATTTTGCCTCTTACCTTTCTCAAACTCAAGGTGATCGAGAAGTGGATGGATCGTGATTATTTTATGACAGCAGACGAAGCCGTTTCTTGTGGAATTGTTGATACAGTCTTACATGAAGCTCCTGCGGATCATTCAAAAGAACTTGAACATTCTAAGTCACTGGGCTAATTCTTGAAGCAGTAAATTCAAGCGGAATGTGAACATGAATTTTATCACAACTATTATTTTGTATATATCGCACTCCACACAATGTAAACAGAGTATTTCTCAGGGAAACAGTATTCCAGAAATATATACCTCTGTTCTATATGTAGTCGTGTTCTGTTTCTCTTGCATGTGACTTGATTTTTGTGTAAGATCATGCATCATTTATCAATTTTTTTATGCATCTTTGTGTGACTCCGTGACTGTTGGTTGATTTTTTGTTTGCCATAGTTTATCGCTCATTTGTAATAATATAATTATCAGTGCTCCACAGTAGAATAATCCAACTAGTATTTTTTTGGAGTGTACATATTTTTTTTAAAAACTTAATCATTAGTTAGTTAATTAACAATTACTGATACCCATCGATGAGTAGTTAAATGTGTGTGACCCGTTTCTGTTAGCAATATATGTTGGCTTTCTCACATTCTGCAAAATTATTTACCAACTTTGAGTGTTAATAAATCAGTTTAGTACCTGTCCAAAATGTTAGTAATAGTTGATTGACGTGTGGACATGAGTACAGCTATTTCCTGTATTACTGCTATTTGTACTGTGAATGTACATTTCTCTCCTGTTACTCAGGTTTACATAGATGCTAAGTTTTTCTGTCATTCATGTAGTTAAACCTATTTTTTCCAACTGTAAGTTTTATTTGGCGTGGTATTTGCACTTTGGTGGCTCAAGGTGAGCATTCAGTAAGTGTATGTATGCATGCCATACATGAAGCATATTTATTCTCATTATTAGTAGTTCGGTGCTTATAGTATTACTGTATATAGCATCGTTAGTATCTCGTCTTATCTGCCCTGGACTAAAAGTTTTCAAAGAGCGGTGTGACTTTTTAAGCATAGACATGATTTGTATCTTTGAATGTTAATTTAGCCTTTAGTTGAGTAAAGCTGATGTAATAAATGGTTTAATCCTTTGGACCAACCAGTATTGGCTAAAGAGGTATGTTGAAATAAAAGCCATGAGATTCAGATCGTTGGGCCATGCGAAGTCGGTTACTTAAGAAGTATAGGCTAAAACCACGAGTTAGTCTCACATGGATCAAAGAAGTCGGATAGGTGTTTGGGGCTGCTTGTTGGTGAAATTTTAGCACACAAGTGGTCTGGCATCATTCAACATCTACAACTAACTTTTCACAATACATTACAGCCATATGTATATGTATAGCCGTCAAATATGTCATACTTTGCAGATGTTAAGAGGAAAATTACCAGGCAACATTTTTGGATGCAAGTATTTTTTTGTGGCAAAATCACAATTAGAAATTCTGGAGTTAGTCTGACTACTAGGTAGAAATATCAAGTTGGTAAGGTTATAAACATGCCCCAACTTAGTTGGATTATCTGGGGTAGAGTTGCGTTAGGAGAAAGTTAAATGTCAATACAAAGGCATGGTGTCCTTTTATGAAATTTCCAGCGGTTGGTTCGAGGTATGAAGGTAGGTGCTCTACTAAGATTCGTTTCATCTTATTTTGCAGCAAAACAAAGTATGTGGACTAGTGGTTTTCTACTTTTGAAGTGTAGTGGTATTAACTGGCCATATTCAGCTTTCAGCCATTTGGGAGTTCTCTTCATTTAATGAAGTATTGCTACATCATTTGGGTAAAGGATAGAGGGTTAAATGGCTTTACTTGTTGACTGCCACGTATTTCGGAAGTTGCATCAAACTTAATCGACTAGTTAACGAAGTATCAGCATGGATACGGATTCGTCTGAAATTTACCAAATTTCATCGTCTGTGATACCGGCAAGATACCCTAGTGTAGTGCATAGTGATCCTCTGTTCAAAGTTTACAGTTGTGAAACATGGACAATGAGGAAAGAAGGCATGAAAAAACAGACGAATGACTTTAGGCACCTTCGTTCAATTGTTCATTTTAAGTTAAATAGCATGTTAAGTAATGTCATCAAATGTAAAGTGCTAGTTAGGGATGTTAAGTCAGTTTCTTATGTACTGAGGTGGTTGAGAAATGCCTTATACATCCTTAGTCACTAACCTCGTTGAAGAATGTTGGCAGCAGTCGATGAAGTCATTGACTGTTGGATTAAGACTCATAGGCAGGTGTAGAGTGCCTTGCTAGGGGTCTCGGGATCCTAAGAATTAGTTTTTAGAGAGTTGGTAGTATGGCTCTCACTTGCTATCAGCGACGCAGATATAGTCATTCTTCCTCATCTCCCAAGCTATAAATATCTCCACTGGTCGTTACTTAACTATCCTTTCCGTTGCACCCATATTTATACATGGTAATATCACCATGCTTGTGTTCTGTCTTTTACGTGTGCCTTTTCGAAATATGGCAATTGGAACTGATGGCCTTATGTGCAAAGTTGTTTGCTGACTTTGTAATAACTCTGTCTTTCTGTAAAATGAAGCATATAATTTTCATCGCCAAAATGAGTTTCACTACTATTTTCAGCCTTGTGACGTCGCTATAATGATGATGCCTATTCTCTTTTGCGGTCTGTTGCTACTCATAGTTTTCAGCAAAACGTAGTGACTGTTTTTCTCTCGTATTTTTGGCTAATTTGAATGATTTTTTGAATAAGTCAATTCAGATAATTCATCTAAAATGTACTACATTTCGCCTGACTTAAGTTGCGAGTTACTGACCATTTCCATTTATCTTGCCACAGTAGACTAAACAATTTACAGTTACAGTTGATTCATTTAGCACATTTGTGCATACTTTTGAAACTCGATCACTCTGCTGGCATAAACTGAATTTCCAGTTGTTTGTGATTGGCATCCCAGTTCTAGTAAATCAGCTGTGGAAACAAGTAAAACTAATGAGTAGTTTGCAACTTTGTTTATAGACTGGTCCTTTCGGAATAGGATCGACATTGTTTAAATTATAATAGAAAGATTTTTAGCCGGCAACTAACTAGCTATCAAAGCATGTTGTAATTCTCTCAGATTTTTATGGAAAAATCAACTCTCTTGGACTGGTTCTGAAACACTGACAATGACACAATAAGTGGATAGATATAAAGAAGGTAATTGGGAACCTGGCGATTAACACCTTTTAGTCGTCTTGTACTATAGATGATGTCTTGTAAGGAAGCGGATTAATAAGACTGTACAATTTATAACGCTTGATAGAACTTAATTTTAGAGGTAATTCTTTCTGAAGATTATTTCAATAGCTTTGGGGTCTCGTAAGAAAACGTGTAATTTATGTCTGAAGGATTGCGCATGTATTATTTTTTAAATTTTTTTATTATTGCTTGATTCCACACAGTATTTTGGTACAAGTATAGGATTTTCAGCATGTGATATCGGTAGCCCAAATTTAGCAGGCCGACCATTGATATCAGGTGTGCGTCGGCAGGGGATCGAACCCAGGACCATGTGCATGGTCGGCGAGCGTCTTAACTGCTGTGCCACCGAAACACAAGTTATACAGGGGAAGCACATTGCTAACATTAATTTTTGATTTAGTATAGTTTTTATGCTATTACTTTTATTTACTTTTGGTACTGTTATCTATTAAATTATTCCTTTATCATAATGGGGTCCAAAAATAGCGTTTTTTAACCTAGATGATCTCAATGGATTAATCGCACATTTTGATATGATTGCCACATCAACATATGTTAATTTTCAAGTGTTGGTTTACAGAGATTTAACTGATTTCAAGGCTGATCACGCATTCACTTCAATTAGATATTGACTGAATGGAATATAGTTATCTTGTCTATTCGACTGTGTAGAGCTGTAGCTTATTGGCTTATTTATTTATATTTATTATTTATTGTTCCCTTGGGTTCCTAGTGGAACATAGGGCTTCAACTGCACGTCTCCATTTGCTTCTGTCTTCTGATACTTTTCACCTGATCCATGTAGTCCATACTGTTTCAACTCTTATGCTTATTGGCTTAGGCACTTGATTTCCAACTAGTGGATCATAGTTTCGAATCCCGTTTCACCTACCGAGGTTCGAGTAACCATAATGTGTCAGTAGCCCTCACACAATAGGTGTGGTTCACTGTTGACTACGTGGAACGGCAGGAAGTTGTTGGGAGACAGTTTCCACTCATTTTCTGTCCAACTGTGGTCGGATATAACTGAAATTTTTGTGTATCCAACAAACAGCGAAGTGTTCTGTGGCACATAGTTTTATGATTCAGTAATTCCTAAAATCAAAGATCTCAGATTTCGTCCTTACAACACGTATTTATCAACTGAAAGCAACAGGGAGGATTTTTTTTCTGGCACACTTATCAAAGATGTATCCGGTAAATCAACACACTCCCCCCCGCAAAAAATTTAAGCATTAACTAATATGCTGTTCTTTATTTTGTCATTTCTTTAGAATTGCTTCACCCCAATTTTAAGACTGATTAAGTATTATGTCTTTTATAAAAAATGAAACATTGATGTGGCATTCACTTTATTTCCAAAATCTAAAATCGTTCTATTTGTATTCTGATTTTAAAAATACTGAATTTTCTAAAGTTTTTAGCTGTGTTTTTACTGGATATTAGTTTGCCTATTGATTGTTTTTCGGAAACAGACCACATTAAGAGATATTTGAAGTTTTCAAGGTTTTCATCCCACATATCCTTTAATTCTGAATCTTCCTCCTCTTTGCCTAATTATGAGAGACTTACAGTTGGAAATACACTAATATGTACCCGAAATGTAGTATATCTGTCTGTGTGTTTACTATTTGTTTCACATATCGATATTAGTAAGTGACTAGGCACTAAATCGATAATGTTTATGTGTACAGAAATCAAATTTCTGACAATAATAAGCGTCATTTCGTAATATCCTATTTGATTCCTGTAAAGTGTTCATTTAGAACTGAGCTTTTTGGTTCTTAAATAAAATTCTTCTGCTTTTGAGAATCTAATTCGAAAATTTCAATAAAAAGACTAAGAAAACTAATGGACTGGTTTGCATATATATATATATATATATATATATATATATATTAGATAGACAAACGAATCGTAGTTGGTCAGTAAAAGGCATAGGGTTGTGCTGTTATAGACGCTTTATTGCACCATTTATTGTTGACTAACTACCATACTTGGGAGCAAATCATCACTTAGTAAAGTTTCAAGTGTAACTGTAGTGCTTGCAATAGGCTTTATGTATTCTTAATTACAGATTCATGGCATGTGTTATGTTACCTAGAATATAATCAGATTGTGAGTTTCTTTGACACTCAGATAAAAATGTGGGGGCTCGCCTTGTAACCAGAAAGTCCCGGGTTCGAACCCCTGTGGTGGGTGCGTACTGATGAAGAGTCCCAAACTAGGACAACAGAAATCACTGTCCAGTACTCCCAGGTTTTCCAATGGTTCTCTAACTGATGTCAGCTCATGATGGAATCCTCCAAACAATCAAACAAAATCCCTACAAAACCAATACTTGAAAATTTAGGAATAGTGGGTAAATGATTCCATCGTTTAATGAATAACTTCTGATAGGTAGGTTTCACTGTTCTCTCGACATATTTTGAGGCTAAATGGTTAATAAACTCTGAAAGTAACACGGAAGATCTAGAATCCAATCTAACAATATGTTTATTACCCCCAACAACTGAAGTTGTTTTACTGACCAACATTAATAAATTAAGACTTGTGTAAGTAATTTCTATCCTAATGATAAATGCCTAATTTAAACTCTTTTCGCTTCTTTCAAAAATCAACTCTGCAGCCACAAACAGGTAATCTACAAAGCCCAGGTACTCCTAGACGTGGAGTGGGCCTAGGGCCACCGAATTTTGGAAATGGTATGTATAGTCCAAGCACTGGTGGGGGTATTGATTCACGTGAATCTGGATTTTTAGCCAAGTTGAATACTTTATCACGTTCAAGAAGACGGAAACAAGAAGCTGAAGAGTTGGCAGCTGAAGCACGACAAGCTATGGAAGATCCACTACTTCCAGCTCCAATTGATCTTGGTATCGATGGGTGTCAGCTTGCGGAAGGTGAAGAGCGCTCTATGATTGAACCCCAGTCAAAGGTTAGTAATGTAGTATAATGTAAAGCCTTTGTAGAGATTGATTAGTTAAATTTCATCTTTATAGTAAGCACTCAGCATATTTTACTGTTTCAGAGACTAAATGATTTGAATTTATTCTTATATTTTGAGGCATCGTAGTGTTGAAAAAAAGTATAAATAAGAGGATAGTTGGATTTGATAGAAATATTGTTCAGAAAGTGAAATAGGATTTTTCAGATCACATTTATTTTTGGTCAAACTTCGTGAAGATTTTTTAAACATGTAAGGGGACAATATTCAAAATTATAAACATACTTAATACATCAAATTCCATGAAAATTAAATATTTCGAAGGAGTTTTCATTCAGGCGTTAGCGTCACTGTTGTTATAGGACCATACATTGTTTATCTATTATCGTTATTATGATTATTATCTTCCTTACAGGAACATCCGTTAGTTCAAGAGTTGTCACGTTCACTTATTGAATGGATAAATACAGAACTTGTAGATGATAGAATATTGGTGCGTGATTTAGAAGCAGATTTATTCGATGGACAAGTACTACAGAAGTTAATCGAAAAATTGTTAGGCATTAAAATCAATCATCCAGAAGTAGCTCAAACTGAAATAGGACAAAAACAACGTCTAAAAGTGAGTCAAATACTTTTTATATCATTACATGAATGCAAAATTTTGTTTAGAATTGTTTTAAACCGATATTATCTACCGCATATATTCAGAATATTGTGTTGTTATTGTTTATTAAGCGGTCATTACAAATCAATATGTGTTAGTGGTTCAGTGGCAGAATGTTTGCCAACCACGCAGGAGGTCCGGCTTCGATTCCAGGTTGATGCACTCCTAAGCCTTATCTATCCGACAGTCAGTCTGGAGAAAAGTGAAGGTTGAGCTTGAGGCTAAGAACCCTACTCTGTATAAAAGTAAAACTACCACTACTGAAACTTCAGAAGCTTAGGACCCTATGTTTCTCTTGGAAGGCAAGGAATGAAAAAAAACTTAGTGAGGGAATTTTTAAAAAAATTGATATTGAGAAATGAACAGGTAACTGAGAGATTCAAGTTTGATCACGAGCTTACGTCAGTTAGAGAACCATTGGAAAACCAGGCAGTACTGGACAGTCGTTTCGTCCTAGTTTGGGACTCTTCATCAGTACGCGCCCTCTATGGTTCGAACCCAGGACCTTCCGATTACATGGTGAGCGCGTAGACCGTTCAACATGGATTTCAACCTCTACCAATTCATGATTTTAGCACGACCACCAGCCATTGTCATCGGCGAGTATTTGCCCTCAGGTGTAAGAACAATCAAAGTTGTGGGATTTTGCTGCATGTTGAATGTTTTCTTGCAAGTTTAAACTTAGTTTATCCATCTGTTTTATTTTAAATAGATATGTGAGTGTTTCTATTCCTATGCATCAAATATGTTTACACCAAAATAGCAAAATTTCAATTGGCGTTATCTAATATTCAGCGGAGATACACTCAACAGAAGGTTTGATAGTGTTAGTAAAAAGTTTCCATATTGTTTGACCCTAGTTTTACTTTTCAAAGAGACAATTGGAAAGATGTTATAATATTTAGAGTAATTGAAGGACCAGTATTCCCTTTGATTTTCATTTATACAGCGAGATGAGAATGTAACGCTATTTTAACACAAATCGCATGTTGGCATACATAGCTTGTTGCAGTTTAGTTTCTGTGTACTGTGTAATACATTTTAAAAACCACATTAATTGTGTGTTCAGCAATTCCCTGTTAAAAATGAGAATTTACGTTAATTAAGGTATCAGGTAAGACATATGAGAAACTTTCGCCATTGACTTTATATGGTTTAGAGACTTGACTTGTCACCAAAAGCATTTCCAATAGGCTACTGCAGACTTTTGATCTACAACTGC